CGAGGACTATGGTGTTGTTAGGGGCTATCAGTTTCACCTATTAGATAAGCTGATTCGTCTTGACCTCCGGATTTTTCCGAATGTGATGCCATCGGACAAATCGGCACGGAAACGCGTGATGCATGAAGGTCGTCATCTGATTCGACGATCGATTTATGGCGTCGATTTTTGGTAGCCTACGCGCAGCCTTACCCCGCATTCGGTCTACACATGTGTCCCGGATCCTATTCACTGCTCGTAATCAGCTTCTACAATCATCTCAAATTCTACCAACAAGATATTGTTCAACAACTTCCGTGATCACTATGACCACTGACCTCGCGAGCACACCAACCGACTCGGGTGATTTCCGTCTTCCCCTGGATGTCAAGCCAACGCATTATGATGTGACTATAAAGACTGACCTGGAGAACTCAATATTCGAAGGCGTGGTAAAGATTGAGTACGTCCGTGCACACTGTCCTTCAAAACATCATTGACTAATTTCATCAGCCTTGATGTCAAGAACGAAACATCTACCATCGTCTTCAACTCAGCCGATCTGAAGTTGAACGATGCGGCATTATATTCCGATCAACTCAAGATAAAGCAGGTCGATCCTTCTCCGTCTTTCGATGACAAGGCGGAACGTTGTATACTTTCCTTTTCGACCCCTGTGCCCGCCGGATCAAAGGCAACACTGTCCATTGGCTTCTCCGGAGAACTGACCGGGGCCATGATGGGGTATTACAAGAGCTCGTTCGAGCAAGACGGAACAAAGAAGTACTATACACTGACCCAGTTCGAAGTGTGTATTCGATCCCACTAACTGCGCCTGCACTTACGGATTGTCGCTAGCCCACCGCCGCCAGACGTGCCTTCCCGTGTTGGGATGAACCGCTTCTCAAGGCCACCTTTGCGGTCACTATGATATCACATCCTGACACGGTCAATCTCAGCAACATGCCTATTACATCGGAGGAAATTTACCAACCGCAAACGACCAAAGTAGAAGATCCTTCATTGGAGGCGCTCTTTTCGGCGTTGACCACTCAAGATAGCCCCGAAGTGCAGTGGAAGATTTCCAAGTTCCAGACTACACCACCAGTATGTCGACGTCGTCTAACCGGGTTTTTAAACTAAAAATCAGTCTACAGATGTCTACTTATCTGGTTGCATATGCAAATGGACGTTTTGCACACCTGGAAAGCTCTTATAAGAGTCCTCTGAGTGGGAAGACCCGTCCCTTGCGCATTTACTGTAGGGATCCGTCTTCACAGAATTCTGGGTGCAGGCTGATGTGATTTGGATAGCTACTCCTGATGTGATTCATCAGGCTCAGTATGCCCTCGACATCAAAGCAAAAGTTCTCCCGATCTATGAGGAGATTTTTGACATCGAATACCCTCTCCCTAAGCTGGATACTCTAGTGGTAAGTGTCCTATGTAGAATCTCCTTCAGTCCGTTGATGATCGGTGGCCTGAAGGCCCATGATTTTGACGCAGGTGCTATGGAGAACTGGGTATGAACTATTGATTCCTACGTGCTTCAGTACTCACTTCTAGCAAGGGACTCATCACTGGACGTACTAGCGCCTTCCTGCTTGACCCTAAGACCGCAGACGTGGCTGCAAAACAACGTGTCACCGTCTTTCAGTCGCACGAAATCGCCCACATGTGGTAAGTTCATCTCCATTGTTCGAAGGATATGTCGCGGAAACTTTTACTTAGGTTTGGTGATATCACAACCATGGAATGGTGGGACTATCTGTACTTAAACGAAGGTTAGTCTCTTGCCATGATTTTGATATTGGTATTGAAATGTATTTAAGGTTTTGCAACCCTGGTAAGCTTAGCGGACATAAGCGTGTAAATCATCTGCTGAGATTACCCGCTTCAAGATGGGTGAAGTTATCATTGTTGGTATGTCTCGTGTCCATGCACTCACCGAACCCATTGACACCAATCTTTAGATCGGTAAGCCGATGCGCTCTTCTCTCAACATAACCATAACACCTTTTCCCAGTGTGTACCCGGAATGGAAGGTCGACAGCTCATTCATATCCGAGCATTTGAATGATGCGCTGGATCTTGATGCCAAATTATCTTCTCATCCGATCGAAGTGCATTGTCCTGATGCCAACCAGATCAACCAGGTATGGCTAGATTGGCATACCACATGGAGTGCGGCCATCTCATACAAGTGACCATCAGATTTTCGACTCCCTTTCCTATGCCAAAGCAGGTTCTGGTAAGGCATTTAATTTGTCTTGTCACCACCCCATCTCACGAGCGACGTTTTCAAGTTTTGCGCATGCTATCCAACTTTGTCGGCGAGGAGCGCTTCTTGAAGGGTGTTTCGATCTACCTCAAGAAGCATCTATATGGAAACACTGTCACCAAAGACCTGTGGCAGGGCATCTCAGAGTCCACTGGGGTAGATGTGCCGAGGATCATGGATAACTGGATTTCAAAGGCAAGCATGACAATTTGATCCACACTCCACTCTAACACGTGTTGTCTCAGATCGGCTTCCCTGTCATCACTGTCACTGAGGGTGAAAATGGTATCCATGTCCGCCAGGATCGTTTCTTGGAGTCTGGACCTGCAGAAGAAAAGGACAATGAGACGATATGGAACGTGCCTTTGGCCCTGCTGACAGCTACTAATGATAAAGTCAACATTGATAAGTCCGTCGTTCTTGACACTAGGGAGAAGACACTCGCCATTGATACCTCGAAGCCTTTCAAGCTCAACGCGGGGACTTATGGTGTTTGTAAGTCTGTTTTCTGGTTGATAGCGTTTGTATTCATGGATGATTATAGACCGCGTGTTGTACTCTGATGAGAGGTTCGCAGCGATTGCTAAGGAGGCTGCCAAGGGCGATACTGTGTTCTCGCTGAATGACCGCATTGGCCTTGTGCATGATATCATGACATTGTCCAAGGCTGGGTTTTGTAAAGTTAGCAGTGCGTTGACCATCGTCGACATTTTACATGACGAAAAGGAGTGTGAGTGTCCCACATTTCAATTGGGCACGAGTTTGATGAACTTGTTGAATATAACATCTTCCAGTCCTTGTATGGGACAGTATTGCTCGGAATATCACCACTTTGGTGTCAACTTGGTGGGAGCACGAGGTTATCGTCAACGATCTAAATGTTTTCCGCCGGGTGGGTTGATCATTTCAAATATCTGTTTTGAGTGCTGACTCAGTTTGTACTTATAGGAATTGTTTGCGCCCATCGTCAAACGCCTTGGCTATGAATACTCTCCTTCCGAGTCTGTGGATATCTCGCAACTGCGCACCCGCGCTATCGGACAGGCGGCTGTCGCTGGGGATCCTGCGTACGTATCTGTTGAATATTGATCTAGGTGAAATTTAACGAAGTCGCAGTGTCGTGGAAGAGCTCAAGATCCGGTTTGCGCAGTATATGAGAATGCAGGATGATTCGGCGATACCTGGCGATCTGTTCAGGACGACTATTCTCACTGTGCGTCAGACGTTGAGCGACGTTGCGTCTATGCTGAGTATTATCTGCAGGCTGTGAAACATGGAGGTCGCGAAGAGTATGAGTTTGCTAAGGCATTGTACGAGAACCCAACTACGCCTCCGTCGAGAAGTATCTCTGCCATGTAAGTCAGACCTGCTTTGTAAAATTTGTTTATTTTTAATACGTTTGTCAGAATGGCGATGTGCGTCAGCCAAGACGAGGCTTGTATCAAGGACACGTACACGTACATCATGTCAAAAGCGCGGACTCAAGATATTATATATTTCATCAACGGCTTCCAGACGAACTTCCGCACCAGGCGCAGCTGTGCGCAGTTCTTCCAAGACAATTACGTGGAGGTGAGCTGTCAGTTGAGACGCCGAGGAGTCCCACGCCGAACATGATCATTTGACAGTTGGCTAAGCGGTTCGAGGGGAACTTTTCGTTCAAGTATATTGTTTCGGTATGTTTCGATTTGCTGTTTGTGTTGTGACAGGCAAGGCTTAGCGTGCATCAGGCAAATTTTGAGAATTTGACCAAGGAGGAAGACTACCAGAGGACCGTAGACTTTTTCAAGGTAATGGTGAATTCAAACATCAAGGAACGAGCTAATGGCATGCGGTGATTAGGACAAGGATATATCCCGGTATAACCTTACCTTGTCGCAGACTCTAGAGTCGTTGCGTGCCTCAAGGGCGTGGATCGAGGTGAGAGAACTTGAGGAAATGTGAGAAAGCTGACTGATGTATGTGATATAGCGGTCCACGACTGATATTGCGGAATGGCTTGGCAAATGGAAAGGGGATCGTTGAACAGTTCACCGCCGAGAAGTTCACTGCCTATGCGTGAGACTGCAGCGAGCAAGGAGGATAGTTAGTTACGTAACTCAATGCCATGACTTTGTGTTCGTAAAAAGTTGTGTACTGCAAAGACGCCGAGCTCGCCACCATCAACGTTGACGAACGGCTTTTTGCTATAGCCTACCCGGTCATAATTAGCCATGCCAGCGTTTGATCCAGTACGAGATGCTGTCATGAATTCACCAGTCACTCAGCCACAATCACTTCCAAATCACAGTGATTATGGTCCACTCGAAATACCGTCCCCATCATCCTCACGTCCTTCATCATCGCACGCGACGTCTAGCCCTTCTTTGACACGTAGGGCAACAGATCTGGCCTCATTATTAAACTCTGAACCGCACGAACCAAGAACTCCAAGCTCTGCACGACCTTCAAGTCTCTCCCATCTATTACTGTCTGATGACTTTGAATCAGAAAAGCTGAACTCTGCACCGTCATTGGGACGGAGATTGCCCACGGCCATCGACATCCCCCGTGAACAAGATCCCTCGTTCTCACGGCAGCACCCTTCACGTTCTTCACTCTCACTCAACTCATCTTCCCCCTTTCTTTCTGATGTACCTTCATCGTCCTCTCGTACTCTTCCAACATCCCCCTTGACTCGCTCCCCAATGGCACCAACACCATTCGAAATAACGTCCTCCACGACGGCGACACCAACAACGATGCGCCAGACGCTGCCCTACAACCCACGACAGCGCTTGACTCCCGCAGGCTCCGTCCTCGCTCCCATGACACAGGATGAAATACAGCTCTACAAAAATTACCGCGGTATCGGTACCCAACGTCTCATAAACAAACGCAAGAGAGTACAAAGTAGAGAACCCGACGACTATCAAGAACGTCCAGCCAAGAGACACGCTGGCGACGTCGAAATGGTCGTTGATCACTGTAAGCGTCTTCCCGCCGCTTAACCTACCATTAACGCCGTCTTCCCAGACAATTTGCGTCCAGAAGTAGGCGTAAAACAGCGCAAAGAGTCTCCTATCATCGGCCTCAAGAATTTCAACAACTGGGTGAAATCGGTCCTGATTACGCAATTCGGGCATCCAGCCCTCGCCTCTAGTTCATCCAAAAAACGCGGAAAAGTCCTCGATATGGGCTGCGGCAAAGGTGGTGACCTCATCAAATGGGGGAAGGCTCGAATTCGAGAGATGTTGGCTGTTGGTGAGATCTTCCGCTTTAGTTCGCGCAGCCCGATCTGATCCATCTTCGATAGACATCGCACACGTGTCTGTTGAGCAGGCTCGACACCGGTGGGCCACTATGCGTCCACGGCGTTTTGACGCCTCGTTCGCTGCGTTGGATTGCTATACAGAACCACTTACAAAGGTCTTTACGCCCGAGCAGCTCGCACAGCCATTCGACGTTGTATCCATGCAGTTCTGCATGCATTATGCGTTTGAAACGGCCCAAAAAGCTCGATGCATGCTCGAGAACGTCAGCGAATGGTTAAGACCAGGAGGGATATTTCTCGGGACGGTTCCAAACGCCGACCAGCTCCTGTATGTCCATTTAAACCCAGATTCCTTCTCACGTCCGTGTTGCTGACTTTATCGCGTCGATAGCGCGCGACTGGACCAACTACCAGCTGACTCTGAAGATCTTTCATTTGGAAATTCGGTGTACAAGATCCGGTTTGAAGAACGCACCTCTCGCCCGCTATTTGGCCACCGATACTACTTTTATCTCCGTGACGCTGTTGATAACGTACCAGAGTACATTGTTGAATGGGATAATTTTGTTCAGTGAGTCTTTGTGTCATTTTGACATTCCCCCAAGTGGTACTGACATGAGTTTGTGTAGGATGGCCGCGCAGTACGGACTTCACCCCGTATTCAAGAAGGAGTTCCATGAAGTGTTTGAAGAAAACAGGGAGCATGAGGATTTCAAGCAGCTGATGGTCCGCATGAATGTATGCGACGCGACCGGCGCCAGCTCGATGGAGGATGAAGAGTGGGAGGCAGTCAGTAAGTTCCGACTTTTCAGTGTAATCTGTGACGTTGCTAATAGAATACATTTTATCCTTTAGACATTTATATCGCATTTGCCTTTGAGAAGAGGTGATGGTTTGACGATCTATGATTTTGATTTGTCTTTTGTGATATTTTATACATCCCTTTGACTGTCTGCCAGCCCATACCACGACTTATGTAATACGATCACTGATGATATATTGATAATTTCCGCACGATTTGCAATGTACAGACATTACATAAAAGCGGCGCTCTGTACATAAAGGCATATAGACACGGACTAACGAACAGCAAGGAATAAGGTGTCCCACTAAGATTACAAAAAGATAGCGTGACGTCGATTGTATGAATAAAAGCGAAAGTCGTCGTCGTACATAAAATTATTCCTGACCAAATCCAACAGTTTCCCTAGTTAAAGAGTTTAGCGTGACCTGACATGCGAGTTAGGAAAAGGACTCACTCTACAGCAAGCGTGAGTTTCTGCTCCAAGCTAGCATAATCTTTGTATGGTGGAAGATCAATACGATTGAAGCAGGTGTGACTCTTCGGTAGTTGTGAAGGGTCACCAGACTTTTCTATGGTAAAGCGGCGGGGTCCATCCGAGCCTTGAAGGTCCTTGAAGCCATTGACGGGAATCCTAGATGTCCCCGTAGCGAACTGAAGCAAGCGGGACTTGCGCTCAGGTGGCCAGCTGCGAATGCACTTCCAGAACCACTGAATGACCTCATCATTCATCTCATACCCGCGGTAGTCGGTGTGCTTAGTCCAGTCATCTCTGCAATGTCATTCAGCCAAACAGCCTCACGACTTCAATTAAGGAACGTACACGTCAATTTCCGACATACCACCGATCAGGAGCTCCAGTTCGCGTTCATCGAAAACAGTGATGAGGTCCTGTGGAATCAACTCGCTGAAACCCGACATGAACGAATCAAACTGTTCCTTGACACGTTTGGAGATCCGATACTCAACAACAGCGTCCACGTATTCCTTCTTGTTATCCTGAGTCACGTTGACATCTGCCCCCCCTGGACGAAGTTCAATGTTGACCAGTTCACCGAAGCGTTCCTCTGTCGTTGTGAAGGTCTCATCGATCACATCCGTGATGTCATTCTCCCTGAACAAGGGTTGGGAGAAATCATGACAAAAAGTGGCAAAGCACTTACAACATCCAAGTCAATCCACGGTGCAACTCAGCATCGACAGATTCAAGGTCCGCCAATGTCACCTTCTTCTTCAAAATCATCTTGTAGAAGCTGACAATGAAGTATGCATCGAGGAAACGACGGTGGAATATTCCAAGACCGAGACAGCGACCGATGAACTTGAAGTAGTTCAAGTGCTCCGGGTTGACGCCTGAAGCGGGATTGATTTGAAGCGTATAGTTGTCGTGGGCTGAGTATTCGAATAGACAGTAAAATGGGTTGAACATTTCGTGCGACAGAAGGAAGAAGAACTCTCTGCAAAGGAACTCAGCAAACGTATGAACTCTGATAGCTCAGTCCAACTTACCGCGATAAACCACCGTAATCGAGACCGTCCTCTCCATCAAACTTAATCATGAGTCGTTTCTTCAAATCATTGGGAGTCTGCCTCATAATCTCTGCATAACTATCCTCGAAGATATGGTTCCGCCGCACTTTGATCTGGCAGTTACCCGGCTGTGCACGCATAGCAGGTTGGCTTCGGAAGTAAATAAGCTTCCTCCTAAAGTCACGCTTGTACTGTGGAACGTTGGCATCAAGCGTGGATGGCATGCGGGGATCGTCCCATGTGGTCGTCTTCGTGTTGTGATCTACGAAATAAACACGCGCGGTAGATGTGAGGCGCATCTCCCAACCAGAGGGTAATGGACCAAGCTGGGATATGGTCTGAGACTGTGAGGACGTGTTCTGTCCATTAGGGCCCATGACACGGATGACAGTCTGGCGCCGGGGATCGACCCAGGTGGTAGTACGCGTGTTATGATCCACATAATAGGGTCGTCCTTCTGGAGTGTAGCGCTCCTCCCAACCGGCTGGGAGACTCCCAGTCCCAGCTGTGGTAGCACCTCCACCCGAACCCACGACTGCCGGTGGAACGTTGGGCGATGGGGATGGTGCTGACACTGACGAGTTGCGGTACGTGTTGGCACCCGCAGCACCCGTGCTGGCAGCATCGACCATGTCGTCGGCGAGTATGCGGCGGGAGTGCTGATCTCTCGCAGCATTTGTTTCACTATCCTGGTTATTGTGGTTCACAGTTTGGTTGGACGATGGTCGGTTCCAAGTTGTTGTCCTGGTATTGTGATCAACATAATATGTCCGACCAAGTGGATCGATGCGACGCTCCCATCCGGGAGGTAATGGTCCATATTGATCAACATTGGGGTTGAAATTCCTCTGCTGTGCATTAGTAACCGCTTGTCCCGGAGACGTGGTCGAGGAAGGTGCTACAGATGGGGGGGCAGCGTGCCCGCCACCTGAGCTGATAGGACGACCCGATGGAGACTGTGAAGACGACTGTTCTGCCTCAGTGCTAGTCACCGAAGGTGGTATGTGGGGCGTCGGCATCTGCATCAACGGTGCTGCGGCGGGCTCAGTAGCAGTGGCGTGTGAACTGGGTGGGCGAGACAAAGTATTACCTGTTGCTGGGGCGGCGTTGGGTGATAAAGAGAGACTTGATTCATTCATTCCCATGTCGGCCAATGCAGAGGTAACGCCTTGTACTTGGGAGGGTCCAGGGTTGCTCATGGGCTGGTTTACATTTGTTGACAGGTATATGATGAGCTTGCCATGGACCACGAGGTTATCATTGGACTTTTTTAGATCCAACGTCAGCATCTCTATCAAATTGGATAAGATTCGAATCAAAGTGCGTGTAAGGGTGATTTGACGATGGGCGCTTACCATGACCACCTAGTTCAAGATCGAGCACATCGCTAACTTTCACGTTGACCACGCCCAAAAATCCTTGGTCACGCCTCTTGAATTTCCTCTGGTCAAATATCTGTACAGCTACCACTGATGAGTCTTTGACGGTGCTGCGTACATGGGACATCAGTCATGCACTGGTAACTACACTCGACCGACACCAAACTTACATGTCAAAGCTCTCATTCCAGTAAGGATTCAGTGTCTTCTTTATAACGCTGGTTGTGTGAGTCTGCTCTGCATCAACGGTGATGACTGCAAAGGGGTCCGGTAGGCGGAATACATCACGCTTAGAGAGCCCATCTGCGGCGACAACTGCCCAAGATATACAAAATGAGCGTCCTTCGAGAACGATATAACTTTAGAATCATACCTGTAACCCTTATTTTCTTCTTGCTACAATGAGAATGAGAATGAATAGTTGATCGTGAGGTTTCGAATATCTGACTCACAGGGCATGCGCAGGCGTCGACATCGGGCTAGATGGCGGGCCCAATAAGGGATCAAAGCCTGAGGCGGTTTTATTCTTCTGTGGTCTGCGGTAAGCTCGCTGTGTCGGACGTTGACGACGTCAGAAAGATATGGGTAGGACAACGATTTTCAGATACCGACCGCACTGCTCACACGGCAAGCCCCCTCGGCAGTAAACGTGACCTCTGCACACCTGCTAGCTAGTCACCATGCCGCATCGATATTCATGGAGAATTAATGATCCCGTAGGCTCAAATACTGCAGAATATAATAAAATATGATATAAAAAGGTCAGTTAAAGAATAAAGCCGCGATGCCGCTCTTCATTTGAGTTGTCTTGACCCTCTACATGAAGGGGGGTCCCAGACTCCGCTGACTAATTCTCGGGTACTTTATGTCGTGGGCTAACTTCTCCCAGTATCATAGTTCCCCGTAGTCACATATGGGGAACGTGGAATCCTTCTTGATTCCAATTTGTACAGGAACGACTGCGGCCCAATCTCTGAGCTACATTTTCTTTCAACATTTCCAGATTCATATCGTTCAGTCTATTACTGGCCAGGGTACCAGTTTATGCAGTGCCCACCAAATCTTTCTATATCATCCAGGGTCTCGGTACGATGATCGACTCGAGCAAGCAAAATTTTATTATATGCGTTACGGTGTATGGCTTATCTTTTGCACATAGTCATGTTCACTACTTCCAGCAGAAATTCTCAATTAACAGTAGTCTGCTGACTCTGCTGAAGTTCAAACCACGTACAGGAGTTACCGACTGTTTGGGTCGTACATAATCCCTCCGTTCAGACTTCGAGCACGAGGTATGTCAACTTTAAGGCAGTCTATTGAGTCCTTGTCTTTGATAGGGTTGTCTTGGCTTCGCGTTCGCTGCGAGATAGCACCCTATTTTCAGGTCAGCTGAGCCTGGAACCACATCAGATGCTTACCTGCAAATAACTCCCGCTGGCACTTGACTTCAGAAAGAAATCCTTTGCCTGTGAAAATGTACCGCGACGAATGGTAGGCCCGGGAAAACCTCGACTTGGATTCACTATCTCAGCTCTTTCTGGCCATGCTCCGTTGATACCCGACACGCGGGCGACTCTGGGCTTATGTTCTGCAGTGACAACATGCGAGTATGTCGTGATATCGTGCATCGGATCTTCTCGCGTAGCAGAACTAGGGGTGTCCCCCGAAGGCGCAGCGTCGGCGAACGGGTTCTCGGGCATGCGCATGAATGTGTCAGCTAAAGAGCCCTTGACCCTCCGTGATGGCAGGGATGAATATTCATCCTATGAAAATGTATCAGATGGCCGCACTCGTAGTATGTCCGGAAATACGTATTCGCTACCTACAGTTTTGGAGAGTGCCCCACCGCTAACAGACAACTCCGGAGATGTATTTGGCTCTGAGCAGTGAAATGGAATGACAACTCCTGACTTGTGGATAGGAACAACTTACTGCTTCGGCGTCTTTCAGCCTATTCAGGTCAAAATGTTATCTGAAATCCATGGCATGATCAAGTCGAGTACTTACTTTATGTTCATCATATTCGTGCACGGGTTGGTCGCTTAAGTCTTGCTTTGTAACTCCACTTAAGCGAGACTAGTCAATCGGTACTACACGTCAGAATCATGGACGCCGGTGTATCGAGGACGGCGCACCGCAGCCTCAGGAACGAGCGCTGATTTGTTCTTCTGAAAAGGGGAGCTACGTAAAGCCATGGTGGATGATGGAGGTGGTGGATAAGGGGAATCACAGACTAGCCCCCATGGCATACCATACGCAGGTCGCCGTCGCTCATTCCAAACATGACCGTGTAGTCCAAATTGCAATTCAGACTCGCTCACCGATGATCATGTCCGCTCAGTTGATCATATTCAATAGGCACTACGCACATCGCAAGGACACTGCCTCTTAGTTCTAAACTTCAGCGGTCGAACGCATCATATGCTTAGCGAACAACATACTCTCACCCCATAGATTATAAAAGCACAATCTAAGATTAATTGAGGGAAAATAATTTCGGATCAACCCATCGGAAGGAACAAACTGCCAGAATTGTACAATGCGTCCCAGTCTTTGAGGATACAATCTGCGTGAGTGTTCTGCAATGCCAACCAGGACGCGTGAAGAAAATTCGGGTGGTGGAAGATTTGTTCGGGCTATCTGAGCACGCTGTCGGCACAAAATTAAAGCGGCCTGTGAACGTATAGGGCGCCCATGGAGTGAATGAATTTACAATTGAAGGCAATGTGATCCCTTCATTCGAGAATTTCATAGCATAAGAGGACTCCTTGGCAGGTTCAGGTAAGGTGCGTGATCCAAAGTACGTTGACGAAGCGAGGAAGTGGATGCGAAGAACCAGTTTTGGTGTGCTCCCGTTACAGCGTGGGCTGTTCACGGACGCCGTATAGCACCACAAGGAGCTTCATCCCCGGCTCCTCCCAGGTCCCTCTGGATCCCACGCAATGACCTATTGCCCGATAGGCAGTGAGAGTAGTGACCCGCTCCAATCATCACGGCAGTGGCAGCCATTGCAATCGAACATGATATTCGAAGTGGAAGCTCCATCTCCAAAAGATCGCGTGATAGACTTCGTTATGCACATGCACGAACTTCGGAAAAAGAAGTGTCAGCCTAGGACGTTGTCTTCATATTACTTACAATTACTAGTGTTTGTTGAACGAAACAAACATAAGGTGGCACGCGCTGATGCCACCGCCTAAAAAGACCCTTCATTAGGTCACTTCAGCCAATCTAGTTCCGCGTCAATAAACGAAAAATTCTGCACCCTACGAGGTCTTTGTAGTTAGTCCTCTTCACTCCTCTCCTAATCCAACGAGTAAACAAGTGAGCAAAAAGATGGAGTCATTACAAACGGTAGATGATTGTAAGGATATAATGCCCCTCTGGTACTGATACTCAGCACAGGCGCACCAACATGCGGCGAATGCAGAGGATTACCGCAACCAAGGGCTGCTCATCCCAGCTTCAGAGGAACACATGAAAGCTGCAGAAGCGTTTCACGCTTGCGAAGACAAGTCACAGGACGCAAACGTGCGTATGCGAGTTCATGCGTCATATCTAGTAACCTTAGTTATCTGCATTGTGCAATGCCTCTCAGACAAAAACGACGCTCCGCATGCTATACAACGAACACGTAAAAGCTGGAAAGGAACTGCAGAGGAGAATCGCAAAACTTCGTGAAGAGAACCAGGACCCCACCCTGCCGCAGAAGACCACGCCGAGGCATACGCAGGTTCATACACATAAGAACGGAGGCGGTTCAAGTGCTTCTCCTCACGCTCCCGCTCCTGCATCCTCCGCCCCACTGCATGCTAGTGCTAGCAGTTCGAGTCGGTTATTAGACTCCCATAATAACGTTGACGAATCATTCATGGTGCTTGGGCAACAGGTATGATTATATATATTCCATCCAATGACTTTCTACAACTTCGCACCATAGTCTGATCCGGGTGATGCCTTCAATAACTTTTGGAGAATCATGGAGGGGATGCTCGACAATTTGTCTCAGCCAGTTGCCTTCGCCACAGCCCCTTTGGGTACCGAACCAACCCCGGCGGGAAAGAAGAACTCACGGCGGGACGGAAACTCAAGTAGTGACACCGATATCGAACAGCCCCACACTTCCACGTTTTTTACACGGCTGGGATTAGATGGTAAATTTAAGTCAAGTAAGTGATCCCCGAAACCGCATTACCAATAACTGTTTTTTGACTTGCTCATTCAGAAGTGGACACCTTGCTCGAGGAGACGGATGAGGAAGTATTTGCAGACGAAGGTATGTTGGCACATTGTCAATGGACTTGACTTTACGAAACAAGTTCTCCAAGGTAACGATCTATCAGAATCCTTTTGCATGATTCCCTCGGATTCGGAACGGTCCCGGTCGGATTTGAAGAAAGAAAATGTATCACTGAAGCAAGAGCTTGAAGCGATGTCAAAACGTTTGGCGGCTGCTGAGCGGATCATGCAGCTGCGCAAGGAACAAGACCAGCAATTACGCGAAAGCATTGTGATGGCACGACACCAGGTGATCTTACACTCCTTTGCCGATCCTCCATCAGACTAGCTCACTGCCAATACTCTCTATCAGGCACAGCGAGCAATGGGTACCTCGACGGTAATAACAAGGCAATCCGGGCAACAACCGGTAGTAGACCTTAGTGCTCTGAATATCAATTTGCCAGCTGTTCCAGCACCGGTGACGGCTTTGAACGTCGGTCGTGATCGGGAAGCACAGCTACTTAGCCGCATAAGGGAGTTGGAAGAAGATGTTCGAGTTGTTCGCATGGAGAATGAGAAACAGGTGCATTGCAAACATGTGTGACGCCTTTTGTCCGCCACTGACTTCCGTCGCAGAAAATGACGATCGCACGCTTTCGTGAGCGATGGGAAAAGCTTAAGGAGTCGTCACGGCGCAAAAAAGATGCTAAGGCTGTTGAAGCAACGAAGACGGGTATGGGTGAACCTATCGTGGAGGAGCCTGAGGCCGAGCAAATGTTGGATGAGGCTTCAGCACGCCCGCCGACGTAGTTGGCGTTCACACGTGTCTCGCGTATGTGATCGCTAATGCTATCGTTGGTCTGATATACCATATAATCTCCGTTTCCTATTGGTAATGATATGTCTCATGAGTCTCACTGATAGTGCAACTAAGCGAGAACCCTACGATATGACGTATTGTCGTGGTGGAAGCACAATACACCCTCAATGATACGCCCAAACACATGGTTTCGCTCCCACTGGAGTCATGTTGTCAAAAATGGAAAGAAGTCTCTGTTCTCATCAGATGGCTAATTCCCTAGAAACTTTGAAAGTGAGATTGATGTTTGCCGGCTACATCCTATGATGTGGAAGGCGGCCCCCATTTCACGGTATGGAGCGGACACAAGGATACTGTGTATATCTTTCCACGAGGTGCTCCATTAGGAATGTGATAAGTTGGCGATAAGCTGACGATAAAAGGATGCAATTATAAACCGCCGATATATACTGGTATGAGATGTTTCCGAAAACAAAGTTTATAACACTCAGAAGATCAAACCCCAGATATAATTGATGTTAAGATCTAGCAATCGGGTCCGAGAAAGTCATATTGAACTGTAGAGTCCGTTATGTACTAGGAAGCCTAGACTGCGAAAAGGTTGTAATCGACAACTCTCAGAGAATCTACTGCCTTGAAGAAATCCGATACGATGAGCTGTTCCTGTTCCACCGTAACGGCTCCATTTCTTCCACGGCCTTGTCCCGTTCCAATCGGAATGTTGAACGAGACAACGACATCGTGGTTCTTTCCTTTGACTCGGAAAAGAGAAAATAGGGTGCGAAGGTGGTGGATTGACCCGGCCTTCTGTAGAACCTGACCTCCGTCGAGCAAAATTGGAGAAAGTTCATTGGTGATGGGTCTTTGAATAATGATGGAATTATGTTCCATTGAATCATTGTCCTCTGCTATTGCATCGAGGTGGAATCTGTGATATCCTGCATCAGAGCTTCTTGAAGCATATGCCATTACAATAACAGGAGAACACTCACTTTGCTGCCGCTTCCGGATCTTCGATATCGACTTTTTGGAGGATGTCGATAATAATGCTTGCACCAGAGTCACGGTACACGAATATTTCCTGGGAGTTTGGGATCTCCTGCGTGTCTCTGAGATAAATTTGGTCAGTCAGTGGGATAGAGCATTTAGCAAGAGTGAGCCATACGCGACATTGATCAGATTTATAGGTAGATTGGCCCTCATCCCATTGTCACCAAAAAGATTCACTGGAACATGGCGGTTGGACATGCTCTTGAATCGAGAATGTAGTAGATATCGATATAGATAAGATCTAAAGTAACAACAATATTTAAAAAGGGGTTTAGTGGCACGGTCACGTGCATGTGACAAACACTTGTTGACCGCGACGCACGACGCGTCTAGCGCATCGACTTGCTACAATTGCTCGTCGGCGACATGTCGGAACTCCGTCGCTCCACCATGCAACCTGCAACTGATATGTATGGCAACACTCGGTCAGGCCTACCAATGCCATCAACAGCAAAGAAAGCATCATCGTCCGCTATGCGCATGTCGCTTGCTGGCCCAGCAGCCCGCACACCCTATTTGCCCCCAGGAGCAGGTTCCGGCTCAAATACAGCACATTCCGGTTATCGGTCGCAGAATGTGAATCCACTGCTACAAAGTACAAGTAAACCAAATTATGGGCGTACCCCTTTAACCAAGTAAGTGTCTTCTCTGATCTCGCCAACGTTCCTTTCGAATGATATCCTACTCTCAGCTCTTCTAGGAGAGGTTCGGTATGGACAGGTGGTCCATCTCTTGCCCCTCCTTCCGGCAGTCAAACATTCAAGGACCCACGACCAATCCGCGAGCGCTCGTATCAATCGAGAATGAAACAAGACATATACTCTTGGCTGCAAGCGACAGAATTTGACATATCTGTTCAAACGCTATCAAACATCACCGGAAAAGATTACCGAGCCATGTTCCAACATCTTGTGACTATCGTAGATCCTGGATACCCGTTTGATCCTCGCCTTCGCTTTGAGGACGAACTTCAACCCGCTCTGAAAGCTCTGCGATACCCGTTCTCTACCCAAATTGACAACAAATGGCTGGCTGCTCCTGGAAGTATGCATTCGTGGCCTGCTCTGCTGGCAGTTTTGCATTGGCTGGTTGAGATGGGAAAGGTTATCTACACTTGAATCATAAACAACCTTGCATTAATAAATTACTCCAGGCTCGGCTGAACTACTTGGAGAGCGAGGATGATCCCACATTACAAATTGCCGATAGAATTCCCGAAGAGTTCAGCGACCCTATCCATCATCAGGCGCTTGCATTCAATTACTTTTCAGAAGCCTATGTCGCTTTTTTTCATGGCGCAGACGTATTCCACGAACAGGACAAAGAACTGGAAGCTAGTTACGGTACGGCTTCTATATTTTTAAAAGCAGCCTTTTCTGACGATAGAATTGAAGCGAAGAAGAACGAGAGGGTGGTCGGCGACTTAGAGAATAAGAAAGCACTACTAGCACAAGGAACAAAGGAGTTGGATGAACTTCGGTCATCAAAGGTAGGCCGCGTGTATGATCCTTTCGGCGAATGTCGTCTGCTAAGTATTGACCCGTTAGGCACCTCTAGAAAAACTCCAGAAAATTCGGGCTTGTATCTTGGATGATCGAGCCAAATTCGACGACGTTTTGCACCGCTTGGAGTCGCGAAAAAGACAGCTCACTGAATCTGTAGTTCGCGAGAAAGCGGAACTCGCTGCTCGATGTGCGTCATGCAAATTCATAGCGGGTGAATCATCGTGAACTCTCATCTTCAGCTCAGAACTTTGATCAACTCAAAGCCGAGCATGAGAAGCTTACGGAGGTGGTCAAAGTTCAGAACCTGACACCAGAAGAAGTCATTCGCATGAACACTGACCATGAAACGCTCGCACGCAATTTGGAGGACCTCAAATACAAGATTTCTGAAGCGCGCAAGACAGTGATGTCTTTGGAAGTCATAACAACCAACCGTGGAGCTGCGGCAGAAGAGGCACTAGATCTCTATGGTAATCTCCTATCTGCTGTGGGCTTATTTCCCCCACTACCGCCACCGTTCGACGACATCGATCTCAGGTTGGAGCTAAACACGGCCGCTGCGAATCCTCAGCAGCTACTGTTGGGTTCCGATATTCGCAAGGTCATAAAACCTACACTTAATAGTGTAGCCGAGATCAAGAGAACAGAACGAGCAGATATTGAAAGCGAGCGCATCAAAGTGGATAACGAGCTTGATCAACTGACTTTAGAATGCGAGAATGTTGATGAGGAGGTGCGAGAAATTGAGAAGAAGGTGATGAGCCTGAACGAGCAGGCGGATGACCTTCGGGATGTACGTGTATCTTCCCACTACTGTGTTATAGTTCTCATTTATACACCTTGCCGCTATAGGCTGCTCAGCAAGAGTCTATGGTCAGCAATGCCGAGGCTGCCCGATTAGAGAGAGAACTTGCCCATGCGCGCACGGCCGCCTTATCGAGTGGAATGGGAGTAAAATCAAGACTTCAGGCATTACAATTCGAGTAAGTTCCTTTTCCCACTTCAATCCAATCAATTTTTTCATTACCGTCTGCCAGCTATCGAGAGCAAATAGCGAAGGTCTCACGATTAAAAGACGAGACTATCAGAGCTATTGCCAAGAACAGCAATGAGATCGGTCTCTTTAAAGAAGAAGTTTCTGCGCAATTGCGGCGCCTGCGAGATTTTGTTGAGGAGGGGAACTGATCAGTACCCGCGTTAGGTAGTCACAGTATTTGACGTATTTGTTATATTCTAATTATATGTTAGTAGCGCTGTACCTTTCCGCAGGCGAATAATGCGGACCGAGTCCAAGTGCATGCAAGAAGTTATGTTATCCGCACTTCGCTAAACTGCGCGACCTGGTCCGACTGCCCGGGCAATTTTGGAGGTTCGGTGAGCCATCGGTGAGGCACATCACTTTGAGTTCTTCCGGCTATTCGAAGCTTCCTAAAATTAAGGAGTGTTCCGAAGATTAGATTTGGACTTAATTCTCATATTGCGCCAGATTGTGCCACGTTGCGAACGCACTTGAAGTGGTTGATCATGATGGTCTGATCATAATGATGGGTCTGACCATTGTACTGGCAAATGCAAGGTACCGGCTTTGGATCGGAGCCATTAATTATCTGATAACACCCACCCACGGGTAATTGTTGTTGATGCACTCGCAGGATGATATGGAACCTTTTTTTTGTTGCTAATTTACATTGTGATACAGGCTAGCAAGATAGGGCAATTGTCACTTTTTGCTCAGTCTGTTCAGGATTTCCTTTTTGGTCACGCGCGCAATTTGATGAGTCTGGTGTTCGCACGTGCACAGCTTAGAGCTAAACTTGTACTAAGATCATTAAAGATCACCCTAGATCACCACGCAGGTTACGAACTCATGTATGTTTTATTTGGTAGATCTGTGCCTCCCACTGACAAGCGGTTCTCAAGCAGGACAGGAGCGCGCGTTCTCAGCCCCGAGACTCCTGCCAAATTAAGCTTCCATTTCGACTCCCAGGAGTAGCTTGCTACATGAACACACGTTCCGTGATCTTGCATGTAGGCCTATCGGCGCTTCAGAAATGACATATGTGTAAGTCTCAATAATTTTCTGCTGGTAGGGACAACTATTTTGGTTACTATCCCGTGAACTGCTCCTACACTAGAGGAACCTTCCAGACTGCTGTCGGAATCATGCACATAGTTATCGAGTGAATGACACGACGCGCGGCGCCCTCCGACATCCAGTACTGAAAACAATGCTCTTCTAGGAAGATCAAGACAGTTAGTTGACCGGTCGCCATCGCCAGCTTCCATCGGGCTTTGATACTGTGATTGTGTTTCACGCCCTTCACCCGAATCTCCCTGAATGCCGGTAAGCCACTCAGGAGCCGGAGTCTTGGCTGTGAACATCCTGTGTCGTGTTGGTCCTATTTTTCAAATAATGTAGCGACAGACTAATTCCGAGATCTACAGGTTCGATTGTCTTTCTCACAAGTTACCTTCTTGGAAAATATTCGAAAGAATCCGCAGTTTCGAGACGATAAAAGGACTCAAACTGAATGCCTAAAACTTCGCGCTTCTTACTTCTTCTTCACCAAGCGGGTAGTTTCTCATCGCGACTTCGGAGCACACGATGTCTACCAAACCTGCCTTGGCTTACAATGATGCAGAGAAAGGGACACTAGATCTCCACTCTCCTCAGCTTGCCAATCTCGCAAAGGACGAGAAGAAGGCAGCAGACATCGAGGTGTTCGCCGTGCAGTCTCTCAAGAAAGATGCACCGGTTACTCCCTCAAACGTCGCGAAGCCGCCGCCAGCCCCTGCCAAACCAGCAAAGAAGAGTACACCCCTGTGGGTCCTCTGGATAATCTGGTACAACAGTTATAGGTATGGTATTATCCGACAACATATGTGATCGAATACTCACCCTTCTGATTTATCAAGGCGGTTTTTTACTGTGGTGTTCACAGTCAATTTCATTGGACTTGGCTTTGCCATTGCTGGAAAATGGCCATACGCAGCAAAATATCCCGGTGCTTTGGTCGTTGGCAATTTGAACGTCGCAGTTCTTGTGCGTAACGAGATATTTGGGCGATGCTTGTATTTGTTCGTCAACACCTTCTTCGCCAAGGTTCGTACCATGCATTTTTAAAATTTCAATTGATGTTGATGATTTTCTATTATAGTGGACTCCTCTATACTTCCGCCTTGGGTGTACCTCAACTTTACAGGTCAGTTTGAACTCCAGATGGCGATTTCAGGAAGCTGACGTTTCGTTACCACAGCATCTTGGTGGTATCCACAGCGGATGTGCAATCTCCGGCGTAGCTTGGATAGTCCTCATGGTTGTGCATCAATTCAAACAGAAGTATCTGTTCAACGATTCTATTCTTGCTTTCGGTGTGATCACCACAATTGTGTTGTTCATTACAATTTGTGCTGGTCTTCCGTGGGTCCGAAACACACATCACAAGTCAGTATTCTTTTCGGTCATTCATCACAGCGTTTTTACATCACCATCTAGTGTGTTTGAGCGTAATCACCGTTTCTTCGGATGGACTTCCTTGTGCATGACCTGTAGGCTCAACTTTGACTTAGGAAAGCTTACGACCGTACTAATTTTTCGAAGGGGTTTACACTATTGTGACCAATGCCTATGACACTGCGGATGGAAAATTCGACCACATCGGGAGATACGTCGTTCAACAGCAAGCCTTCTGGTATACAATTGGAATGTCCACCTTGTAAGTACTGCTTTACCTACATTTTCGATTACGTTGCTCACAGCGGTTTTAGCATTGTTCTACCTTGGATTTGCACGAGACACGCCAAGGTCGACATCGAACTACCCTCTCCCAAAGTCGCTGTTCTCCGCTTCGAGCGTGGTATGCAACAGGGTCTGCTTGCTCGTATTAGTCGCTCAGCTGTCAAGGAATATCACGCTTTCGGTATCATCTCGTGAGTATTCAGTGTCGTCGTTATGCGATACTCCTAACTCTTTGCAGCGAGGGTACTCATGCAAAGTATCACTACCTGATTTGCGGTGTGCAAGGCGATTTCACCAAGAGCCTGGTCAACGACCCGCCGAGAAGGATCTGGACTCGTGAGCTGAAGGTAAAATGACCTCAGCAGTTTGTGTCCGATCAGATTGCCAATTTCTTTTCCAGGTCGCTGGTGTCTCTAACACGTCTACCCTTTACAAGCGTGGAATCCGTATCTGCACTGGTACTGGTCTTGGTGCTGCCCTTTCTACTTGCATTCAGTCTCCTTACTGGTATCTGATTTGGATCGGTGCGACAATTTGAACCTCTGGTATATGCATATCACTGACGTTTCCGCAGGCTCTGATCAAGAAAAGACTTTCGGCCCAACCATTAGTGGTCTCATTCACAGACACGTTGGTCCAGAGCGTCTCCTTCTTTGGGACTCCAAGCTCCGCGGTGGTCGTCCACCCACCATGAAGATATTGAAGGAGGTATACGAATACTGGCAGGCAGAGGTTGTCTTCATCACCTCCAACTACGTGGGTAACTTTGAGATCCAGCATGGCTGCAAGGAAGCTGGGATTCCTGCATTCGGAACTCTTTGGGACTTTGTGAGTGACCCTCCAGAATTTGGTCGCTGATGGAGCTGAAGAGAATGCGCTTTGTCAGTAAATTTTCCAACTCGCATTGGGCGTGGGATGTGTCGGACGCCAGACCACCCACACCCTATTTCTCATCCTTGTGTATCCAACACACTGCTCATTCTGCGCCTCCGGGAAATCTCACAAACACGTATTTTCGGGAACCAAGTTAGCCGGCGTATCAAGGTTCTTTTTTCTCTCTAGCTGTGACCGCGAGTGGTACTTGCTGGCGCAGACGGCTTGGTCAAACAGAAATAGCACTATTAGTTCGCTCGCAGGTGAATGAACGCTTTTAATATTTATTTAGAAATAGATGTGTTTCAAACTTTACATCACTACTCTCGTTGTGCTAGAAATCAATAATTGGCGACAAATATTCCTACAGCAATCACATTGTATCATTGGAACACTAGAGTGTGCTCGAGAACCACCCCAGACTTTCCCATCCAATTCCAGCGACGATTTGGATTGATGGATGTCTTGGGTTCCAAACGGACTCCACGACGAGCAAGCTCAGTCATCACACGTGCGATGTTCCGTGTGTCCTGTGGGAGAAAATGACATTGTGAGAAAGAATATCAGCAAGGCAGAGTTGCATGTGAAATCGAGTACTGACGTCAATACCGCTGTGCAAACGGCCTTGAAACGCTGGCAACCCGAGGACTTGCAACTGCTGTGGTATGTTCAATGATCGAATGTGAGAACGTGCCGAAGGCTGATAAAAGAATCGTGAGTGAAAGTGAGTCCGCATCGACGAAAGTTAATAGGCACCTTGATTGTGGTGTCCGGGTTGCTAGACGCAACTGCCCAAACCGAGACAACTTTCCTGACGTCGAGAATATCCCCTTTGAGCCACAATGGCATAGGTATCTGATAATTGATAACAAGATAATGAGATCGATCGAACTTTCAATTGGTTCACGTAGACCTGCGTAGACAACTGACCTTCGATATAAAACATTGCTTCACGACGAAATCCCTTATATCGAAAGGTCCGTCGCTGCACCAACAGAAGCGTTGTATAGGTCTCCCGCTCTTTGGGTCGATTAATCCGTGATTGGCCAGAAAACGTGCAAACATCTTCAGAACCTTCTGGAAGGTTGGTGCTGTGTTGACTTGGACCTAATGTTCAATCATGGCATGGCATTAAAGCAGAAGTAGAAGCATCAGACGAACTTGCGTGATTCCTGTAAGTTGCGTGCAAAATTGCGATAGTTGAGGTCTCCATGTGGGCTTGACGAAGCTCCTAAACTCATCAACAATTTCCAGCTGGCAAGCTCTTCCTTGGTCCGATTTGTCCTTCCAGCGCATGAGACAAACAGGCCACTCCTATGTAAGTGAGACGTGGTCAGGAACTGGGTGTAAAAAGAATCATGTAATAGTAGATAAGACGAACTATGATTTCATTAGGCCACCCAAAGCCGGTCCCCTCTTCACAAGTAGCCTCGACGTCCAAAACAAGGAAGGCATCGTAGGGTGGCTTCACACGATGATCCTGCTTTTGAGCGCCTTTCACCATCAGATCTTTCTTTTGAGTTTGGGAAGACGACTTTGAAGTTGGTCTGTCAGATATTTGCGAATATGGATGATGATATATTGAAGGGATGTCTGAACCATTTAAGGGCACTCGAGAGGGAGGACCCTCAACCAGCAGCGGAGAAGAATCTTTCGACTGTTTTGCGCGGCGTGTAAAGACTGTAACAGACCAGATAAGAAACGAAGAGAGTAGAAGGACTTTCCAATTAGAGCCCAGCAGTTGAATTAGGGATAGGAAAAAGGTCGCAAAGGGAAATAACCCATCGAGGTCAGGGCTTGCAAGCTGCATGATGTTAGATTGACAGTACGTCCTGGGCAATGGACTCGCTGGTAACTTGTAAGTTTCAGTTCAACGTACATTTAATGGCCTGCCAACAAGTAATATGCCAATAGCAGACAGGGCTACTAGTATTTCGGCACCATCCGGCAATCATATCACGGATCGCGGAAGCAAAAAGTTTTCTTGGCTCTCGGACCATTTCTAAAGCTTGTTACCCGGCATTGTTCTCACCGCTACATCTTGTCTCACAGCAGCATGAATGGTCAACGAGGTGACGACTTGGACGATGACTTCGTACCAGATGAACTCGTTGCTACCTCTGGTGAGGAGGATAATGGTCCAGGCGATGATATAAGTGGTCTTCTTAGTGCAGATGAAGATGCTGAGGAAGCGGAGGTTTATATCAAGGAGAAATCAATGACAGAAAAGAAACGCAAACGGAGGGAGAAGGAGAAGGAGCGTAAGATCAAGGTTTGTGTCACCTATCAGATCATTGGTCTTTCACTCACAATCATTATCTTTCGCAGAAGAGGAAGTTAGCAGAAACAGTCGAGGTTATCGACCCTCTTTCAGTGGCAGCGCAACCTGCTCACAAACTCGCAGACTATGTCTCATCTATGCAGGTCAAAGCTTTCCCTGCAATGTCTGAGATAGAACTCAGCGACGTCTTGATACCCGGTAAGCTCAACTACATTAGTCCTCAAAGAATGATCTCAATTTAACAACTAGACAGAAGCATCGATCGCGGATACAGCGATATGGACGGGATCGAGAACATTAGATAATCTGGTTGAGTTCATTATCGAAGGTATGTCTTTTCATCTTACATGTTGCAAATGTACATTAATGTATGGTAGTTCTTCCGACACTGCACACCCGTCTGTCACAAAGATCCAAAGTGGCTGGAGCTCCCACCTTGCTGTTCATAGCCGGAGCTGCACTCCGAGTTGCTGATGCGACCAGAGTTCTCAAAGATAAGAGGCTGCGCCGTGAGAAGGGTGCAGATGTAGCAAAGTTGTTTGCGAGACACTTTAAACTGGAAGAGCACGTTTCTTATCTCAAGAGGTCAAAAATTGGTTCTGCTGTTGGAACTCCTGGAAGAATCGGGAAACTACTATGTGAAACCGGTGAGCTAGATACTATCCTGGCACATAAACGCACTCTCAATATTTCTCAGACGCCCTTTTGGTGTCTCAGCTCACACACATTATCCTGGATATCTCATATCGAGATACAAAGAAAAGAAGTTTGTTGGACATCCCAGAGACTCGGGACGAAGTATTCCGAACTGTTCTGGGGGCGCCGAATGTGCTCAAGGGTATTCAAGAGGGAAAAATCCAACTGGTGTTTTTCTAGTCGATCCCATGGGATTAAGTTAAAAGTACAATACTGCATTCTATATAAAGAGGCATCACTTAAAATCCCTTCGGGTTGACTCTTAGTGTGAGCTAATAAGTGAATATTTCAATATACCATGCGCAATTAATGATAATGAGCTCACTCTAGTCCATTTGGGCACTTTGTGAATGCCCTTTCGATAGCCTCGTGAAGTCGCACTGAACACCGTGTATTTATCCTTGGGATCCATCTCGTGCTCTTTAGGCAGCTGTAGTGCCTTCTCCTGAAAATACAAATTTAAACCATATGGCACAGGGAAAGCAAGTCGACTAGCTCACCAATGCACCGCATTGTATGCCACTTGCTCTGACCGTTTCAATGACTGCGTCTACTTTCTTCAGACGAGCACGCGCATTGGCTTTTCGTGTGATTGACAACTTCCATGGCGTTTTCCTGAACAGCAGCAGATATGATGAGAAAATGTTGCTGAATGAGCTGCACGGCTTACCATAGTAGACCGCCTAGATTTACCGACGTAGGTCGGAAAGCACCAAACATTTTGTATGCAAGTCAGTTGGTCGCCGTAGCTTAAGAGGTATTTGCCGACAGATGCCGAGCAGCATCATTTAGAACTCCGATCAGACTTAGTGAATGGACGACTTCAAGCCAAGGATCCATTAACGTCGCTCACGTCGACAACAACCATGGCGGTAGAAACACAAATAATGCCTGCCATGAACGGACACGCCTTTAATGGTGATGTCGAAATGGAGAATGGCATTCGGGATTCTTCACTCAGGTTTACCAGTGGACTCATCCTGCCACCTCCGGAAATCAAATGTAGGGTCTTTCATTATGTTGCGTGCGTTGTTCTGAGATTTGTTTTCTTTGCAGCTGTTATTGACAGAACAGCATTGTTCGTCGCTCGCTCTGCGAACCCGCCTCAGTTTGAGGATAAAATTCGCGAGAACCAGCGTCAGGATCCCAAGTTTTCGTTCCTCAACCCCGCGGATCCTTATCATGCTTACTATAGGCATCGCATGGAGAAGATAGAGGCTGGAGAGGAGCTGGATGACACTTCACAAGAAAAGGAAAAGGTGGACGGGGTAGAAGAAATACCAATGATTCTAGAGGATCTTGGCGTCGAACCACCTCAGCCGCACTTCGCCATGGACATGCCCAATGTCAGCCCTATTGACTTGTGCGTCGCCTGGTTATGTTCCACAAGAATGTGGCTAATGATTTATGCTAGAGATATCATGAAATTGACTGCACTTTTCACCGCCCGTCGCGGACGGACATTCTTGGCGACACTTTCGCAAAATGAGGGAAGGAACTATCAGTTCGACTTCCTGCGACCCACTCATTCTCTCTTCGGTTGCTTCAACCGTCTTGTGGAACAGTATCTTAAAATTTTGTATCCAAGTAAGGAGATGTTGGCGGAGTTGAGTAACAGAGCGCAGGAAGGCGCAAAGGGGGCAACGTTAGAGCAGTCCAAAAAATACGCCCGTTGGGAACGCTTGAAAAGGGAGAAGGATAAGAAGAGAAGAGATGACCAGGAGGCAGAGAAACGTACGTTACTTTTCCCTCCTCGACAATCAATTACGACCGTTTGCTTTAGGTGCATTTGCTGAGATCGACTGGCATGACTATGCAATCGTTCAAACGATCGATTTCACGGTTGCTGATGCAAATTCAGAGCTTCCTCCTCCAATGAGTGTGCAGGAAGTGGAGAGTATGACGCTTGCTCAAAAGAGAATGGCTGCTATGATTATGGAAAACACTGCGGATGAGATAGAAGCTCACAAGGCCAGACAGGCAGCAGCAGAGGCCGAAGCGGCAGCAGCTGTCAGCGGTGTTGGGATTGGGGCTGTTGAAGACGAGGACGCTGCGATGGAACAGAGCGATGATGAGGACGATGAAGCGCAACTAAGGAAGAAGAGTGAGGACGAGGAGAGAGTGAGGGAACTTGAGCGCGCCCGCGCGATGCAAGCAAGTGCCAGCATTTCTGGACCTATGAAGATTAGGACAGACTATGTTCCAAAACGTTTGTTGTCAGCATTGGTCTTTCTGATACTCAACTTACCTTTGAATATTGCAGTTGGTGCTAAGAAGGGAGCTACCCTCACGACGTGCACGATTTGTGGACAGCAGATTCCCGTTGACGAACTTGATGAGCACATGCGTATTGAGCTACTGGATCCCAAATGGAAGTCTCACCGTGACAACATCGAAGCTCGTAAAGCTCAGGCGTCTGAGCTTCTGCGCGGTGCAAACGTAGTATCGTCACTCAAAAACTTGGCCCGTACACGTGTGGACATTTTCGGTGCTGAGGCTGACGAGGAGAGGCGGAAGAAGGAGGAAGAAGAAGAGAAGGAACGCCGGAAAGAGAGGGAGAAGGTTGTGTGGGATGGTCACACTGCAACAAAAGTGTCTACGATGGACAAATATTCGACCAATGTCAACTTCGACGAGCAAATTGCTGCCATTCATCGTGCAAAGGGTCTTGGACCTCAGGATTCCAATGCGATCGGCCCTGGAATTGGCCCTGTGTCAGCACCTCCGCCTGCAATGACGGGTCTACCTCCACCTCACGCATCATTACCTGCCCCTCCTGTGCAATCATCCGGGTCAGCTTCTTACTCTTCCGCTACTATTTCATCTGGCCCGCAGCCGGCGTCAGCATATCCACCTCAAGCACCGCCTGTTATGCTCCCACCTCTTCACTATCAAGGTCTCGACTCTGCGCAGCCGTTCGGTTACCAGCCTCCTGCCGCTGGGATGCATCCTTCTCGTATGGCAGGAATGATGGCCGGTGGTGTGGGAACACAGCCACACGCGGGTGTGGTGCGCAGCGCAGACGAGATGGAAGGACTAGAAGAGCAGCCTGCTATCAAACGGCAAAAAATTGCGAAACTGCCGGGTGGTGCCTTGTATCCTGAGGCAGACTGGGTTGCAATGCATCCCTACACCATATCCCTCTTCGTGCAACTTCCGAATGATCCGTCTAAGCCGGAATGGAAACTTAATGGCCAGACGGTCACTGTTACAGACCTTCCTCTAACTTTGCTGGTTTCAACGCTGCGCGATCGGATAAATCAAGTCCTTGGCAGCAATCTCCCTCTTTCCAAAGTTCGAATATCGTATGCGGGTAAGATGCTGACGAACAACAGTACTATTGCTAGTCATAATTTGGAGGAGGATGATCTTGTTGTACTTAGCATCACTGCTGGTAAGAAGAAGTGATCGTTTGTACATTTATTTTTTGTAACATAGGGTGCGTAATTCTATGAAGAGATGACATATGTGATACCGATGCAAGACATATAGTAAGAGTGTATAAAATAAAGTAAAAGTCAACCAAGCGTGAAATAATAATAGGCACTACAGCGCGATTGATGGACGCGATAACAAAATAAGTTAAACCCGATGAAACTCAAGACCCAAAGAAACCTGAAACCCGATGTAACCTGAGACCCAAAGAGATAAAGAGAACATCGTCATGAATATTATGCCGTAAAGTCCGCGATGACGCTGGACCTATACTACCCGCTGTAGGCCCTGTCCAAGTCAGAGGGTAACACAGCGACGACAGATGATGTTGATGTTGAAGGAGACGACCATGAACGATGCATGTTAGGTCTCGGAGATAACGTAGCACGACCCCGGAACGACTCCTCCTGTGATGTCTCCCATTGCTTCTGGACTGCTACTACGACTGGCGTGACTGGTTGCGATGCGCTCAGAAGGTTTTCTTCAAAAGCGCCTTGCTCGCTGTTCATGGGCACCATGTCTCGTAACCACTCGTCATCCTCTTGGGAGGGGGTCTTCAGAAAAGCTGGTTGCCGACGAAATACGCTGTACGGCGACGAGAGGTGCGGTGAGTTTGTTAGGGATGGGGGTACTGGCGTGGGATCGCACTGCTTTGGGAGATGAAGCGATACGGACCTGCCCTTGCGCATTTTTGGTGAGAAACTGCCTGACATTTTTGATGAGAACGAGTCAAGAAACAAGTCGCAGTAGCAGACGAAATCGCCTGGTCTCCTTTGATTTTAAAAGCCAGGGGGGCCTGGTCACTTCATAAATATCATCACGTACAAGCCAGATATAGGATTAATATTCGATTATTATAAATAATTTAAGTTCAGGGCGTAACTACGAACAAGTCGCCGGCACGCAGCACTTCCCCAGGGAATCCCCGCACAGCTAGGGTCGATGACAAATCTGTGTTAACATAATGATCGAATCCTCGGAAAATACTTAGAAATGAAACCCGGTTAACATGCGTCAGGAAATCCATCTAGAACGTACACTAACAAAGTTCCGAATACGAAATAAATTACTAGCGCGTCATACCTAAGATCACAAAACTCGACGACAGAGTAACGCTAGAACCAAAACAAGTAGTACACAAATCGCGGTATCGAGAATTAGCGGAGGCCGGTGTGAACTACGATGTACGAGTTCCGCAGTTCCATGCATGTGCACTTGTCGCTCTTCTTCAATCCTATCGGACTGACGGACAACAGTGGCCGTCGAGCTGTCTTGAACAACTTCGACGTCCGCGGTGTCGGCAGGTAGACCTGACGGCGGAGACAATACGTTTGCATTCTTAGACGGCCCCTCCTTGGGATCAGGGAGATGCTCTAGATTACACTGATTACATTGTGGGCAAACCCACTCCCGTGACCTTAATGGGTTAATGGGTTACGTTAGATTTATTTAGTACAAACTAGGCCGAGGCTTACAATTGTGCCAGACGCTTGCGTTCCGATAGGGGATATTCGACAGAACCAACACCGGTAGCTGCCTGACCCTTCAGAGGGAAAAATCCTTGGAGTCCAATTATGGCTATGAAAAAGTTCAGGCACACTAATGCCGAACGAAAGCGTAGAGAATTACCTGTGCGAACACCCCATGCAGGCTGCCATTCCTCTTCATGGTCTAGGTACAACAGACATTAGTTAATTGACTCCACAATACTGCAGGAGTAACCAACAGTTTGTAAAGCTGATGCATATCTGATCCACAGAAGCTCGACGTAATTCTAACATCTGATTGGCAAGGGGCGTACCTTGGTATTTAGATCGAACCGTCCATTGGGCGTAAGCATCATTAGAGAAGGCGGTCGGAAGGGGTATTCTGCTGGAAGAACTATCCGGAAATGATACAGACCACCTTCAAATTCTGTACCAGCGGGGCCACGAAGTGTACAATGCCATTCCTATAATCTGTCATTCGATACGTCAACGCACTATCGGTAAGCGTTACATACAAAGATATCATCCTATGGTTTGCGGAGTCCGAACAAGCATGTGTCGGCGGTGATAAGAGACTCGTGCGTGTTAGGAGCACGCACCTCGAGAGGAACTGCATGGTAATCGGTGCAGGGATCGTTTGCGAGTTCCCTGGCCTCTTGCATTATCCGCTTCACAGCTATGTGGGTGACAGGTCAATCTACAGCCAGAGTAAGCAGACTAGTGTTGGCGCACCGGAATTGTTCTTGTTGAGTGCAGGCATCGGCGCCTCGGTGCTTCAAGCTTCAGCTGTAGCGAGAATATGGTACGGACTTGAAGTTTACAGACTATATACCGAGGATCAAACGGGCTGCTACTTGAAGTTAGAAGTAGTGGAAATCCTTCGAGATGATTGTAAACGTGGAGGGGTGCCACGGCTATTGACGCCGTAACGGCATCACGTCTGACTACTGAGGTCACGTGGATTGAATTTTCAGGCGTTAAGTTTAAGTCCTGGTCACGACGAGCCTTATTCTGCTTTCGCGCAAACTTACATCTGGGTTCTACCGTAGCGTGGGTCGAGTACTAGGTTGCTATTCTACAGAAAAAATGACGGTACACATTGCCAAGGTTAAGGTCAGACCTCGGAAAAGTGAGTCCCAAAATTATCCTTTCTGCGCAGGTCATTTAACTAATGCCACGGCCCACGCGTAGACTTACCCCCGAATGTCTGTGCAGTGGAGCTCTCAAATATGCTAGGGTGCTGGGCAGCAACAGGCGACATGCTATCCAGCAATCACTGTCAAGCGGCAGCCGAGACTTTGTTTCAATGCATGCGCACAGCAGTAAGTCTGGACATCCGTATCCAGTGTATAATGTGTTCACTGCGTCGCCTTGCAGCCTGTCCGCGGTAAACAACCTAGATCTTCGATAAATTACCACCTCGCTAGACTGGGCAGAAACTCCAAATAGTCTTATATGATATGCAGTTCCCCTTGCATCGCACACAGCTTCACGAGTTTCAGCAATGCCTGGCTTTCATTCAATGTCATTCTGAAGCGTCATACGTCAGATCATGACATGCATTTTCCGCTCTGCGTTCCCGTTGTGCTGATTTCAGGAACGTGTTGGATTTCTCCAACTAGAAAACCCTAGCTTCCTCTTGAATTTGCAGGGTCTTGTTTTGAAATGGCATTCGACAAATTGTCCGTATCTTTGGACGGTATGAGCGCCCAATGCATACATCTGTCGTGTTTCGCCCTGAAATCCAGTCCTCTGGGGTTCACGTGAGAGTGTTCAAGGCCAAAGCATAGATCTGTCAGGTTCCGTTCTGAACTCCACACAACAGCAGGAAAACCGTCATGCACAACATATTTAGCATTCCGCAATATCATGAACTGTGTGGTATTGTGTGTGTTTACGTTCGCTTTCGATCATCCCCTGACAGCCGGCGGCCAGGATAATGTGTACGTCTGAGGGTTGGTCCGCAGTGCACCAATGTCACTTAGTAACATGAAAGCATTCACGAGCCAGTCAAGTCCAAGAAGCAAGACTATAATGTCTGTACTTTATGTGCATAAGTTACTGTTACATAGAAAGCATATGCATGCAAATGCGACTAACTACGACGTTAATGTAGCATAATACAGAAAACAAAATCGCAAGAAAAGGAAAAACAGAAAGAAAAACGAGATGACGAACAAGATGACGAACGAGAACTACGCTAGACGAAAAATGCCAAAATAAAAGGGAAATACTATCGGGGACCTGTCTTCGAAGAAGACATTTGAGTAGAGGGCTGTTTCGCCATGTCTTGCTGCCGTTGCCATATTAACTCTGCCCATAATGGATTCGGTGGGATGTGCCCGACAAGTGCACGGAATACATCAAGCCTGGAAAAATATGTAAGCCGGATGGCGTGTATGAACGAGGTTGGACATACCACTTCGCCTTCTCATCATCCGAGTCTGCGAAGAAAAATATTTCTTGATTTCCAGGAAATACGAGACGGAAGGAACGCTCGACTGTGATCATCCCGTCGTAATCATTTACTGACCGAGCAGGACTGAGAGCGTCCGTACGCGTATCTTGGTTGTCCTCAACTGCGATGGCTTTCTTGAGGTTGATGGTCGCCGTTGCCTTCTTGGTGACATCGTTAAATGCAACAAGATTCGCGCCAATCACCCGAAGACGTCGCCGCCGCCATGTCTGCAGTGAAACTAAGTGACCGTTCAGTAGGTGGTAAAAATCGCGTACCATGCAATCCCCTCCATGCTGCGTTAGTGTACCCTCAAAGTACGTGACTTTATGCCAGGCGACGTGTCTTAAACCCCGATGACAGTCTTCAAGACTCTGTGGAAGCTGATTGCTCAAAACGCCAGGTAGAGGTGGAAGTCTAAACATCTGCAATACGATCTCTCCCAATTCCATGGTAGTTGGACCCCCGGAAGCTTCGATGCGCTGTCCGATTAGTGGATAACTAGTCTCGAATAGCCGAGTATCGCATCTCGCAGCCACATCTTTGAATGAAATCAATGCACGTGCGAGGGTTCCATCCTGCTTGAGATACCGTGCGAGATTATCTGGGAGTTTATAAGGAGGGGCAGGTGGAGGGGGTGGAGTCGCACGAGGCTGCTTTTTAGGTGATGACGAGAAGAAGCTGAGCATGCCACCCCTAGACTTGGGTGCGGCTGCTGGGGGCTGCACACGTGGCGCAGGCGGTGGCACAAGAGCCTGTGATTGGGCAGTGATATGTGCATCACGGCGCACCTTGAGGGTTAGAGTGAACTCTAACTTGTTGTGCTCGATACTGTCGCGGGATTAGCACAATCTACAAATTGATAGCGACAAACTTACAGCTCAAACTCTTGATCGATGCGCGAATCTCTGGATAGACGGGTTTCTGGAGTAGTAACAAAATGTATTCCGTTGTTCAAAGTACATGTAAGAGCTGTGGCTTGCTGGGGTATAGGCACTTGCAAGCCGCGAACACCAACGACTGCATATCAATAATCTGATGAGCTATAGCTTTCAAGGGTAATATAATTTTACTGACCTCTGACAAACACTTTGCCATGCGCCTTGCCAGGCTTTTCCATTGACCTATATTCCTTAATTTGCTTGGAATATTCATTCTAGAACATTAAAAATATTGGAATCAATTGAGGAAGAGGCAAAAAATCAATTACCATATCCGATGGTCGTCGGACGGCTTTCCATGCCTTTCCACCATTCACGTCACCAGCAAGTGACATATGAGAGACCTGCTCTGTATCGGCGGACGCAAAAATCGCCTCATGCTCTCGGATACGATATTTCTGCGTACAGATCAACGTGAGCACCTTAACATGCAACAAAAAACCAATTAGCTCACCCCTTTCCTATGTTCAGGGTCAAGTTTCTTCAACTCTTTCGAGATGCTGTCAGCTAGAAGGTCGCCTTCACTGTCAGAGATGCCGAGGTCAAGAAGCATATCACTTTTCGCCGGGGCACCAGCGTCACCAGTACTCTGACTCCGCCGACGTGAAGGTCTGCCAGCGGGAGCTGCACGGGGCGGGGTATAATATCCCAGTGATTCATCGTCATCTCGTCTTCGTGCCGCCCGACGCTTCTCGAGAATAAGCTCCTCTCTCTCACGTATCGCATGCTTCGTCTGCAACTGTTGCTCCTCTGCCACCACGGGGCTGCTGAACGCTGGGGCGGTGTACACTATCGAGTCTGTCGCCGCGCGCTGCAATGGTGCCGCCCGCGGTTGTACCACAAGGCTGTCCATGGACATCGACGCATCGAAGTCCGTATCCGTGCGCATAGAATCATCGCCCGTACCAAAGCTGTTGTCGAATTGGCCTGCTCTGATGCCCTCAGTGACTGACTCGACGCGCATGTGCGTGGGCCTTCTCGGGCTTTGGTTCCCACTCGCTGTGCCTTTGACATCATCCATGAGTCTGTCGAGTGCCGAGCGCATCTCGCTGAACTGGACGGAGTTCACAGAATCTCCGAGACCTGGACTAAGACCGAGGCTGCTGTTAAGCTCGAAACTCACATCAACAGACAGCCCGATGTTCGTAGGTGGTGGAGCAAGAAGGTCGAGGGAGCTCCTTGTAACGGCAGGATTCGGGGACCCCTGCTGACTTAGTGCAACAGCCGCAGAGTTAAGCGTGCATTTCTCTGCAGTTTGGATAGTTGCAAGCTCGGCGCTAATATCCGTCATCACCGACATTGACTCCACGGGTTTCTCCTGTTCTTTATCTTCTTCGGTCTCTGCATCACTGATGATGCTGTCCTCCTGGAGAAAGTCACAGGATGCAATTTGTTGGGGAGGCTTTGCATCAGCAGCTTGCTCAGCCACACCACCCAGCACCAAAGGACTGTCCGTACTGCGCTTGCGCGTGGGGCGCATCTGCATGACCTTGTCGAGGGCAGAGCTCATGGAGTCACCAAGACCTGCACTAAGATCAAAGCTGTTTGAAATGTCATACGTCGTGTCAGGAGATGAAAGAATGTTCGTAGGCGGCTGGGAAATAAGTTGAGTTGGGCCCCTCAGCGTCATAGCGTTGGGACTCGGTGACCCTCGCTCTCCAGCTTGGACAGTTGCGAGCTCGGTACTAATATCCATCATCACCGACACCGACTCGACGTGTTCCTCCTGCTCTTCAACTTCAACTTCTACATCGGCAACGTCGTTGCCATGAGACTCGGTTTGTTTTTGGAGTTGTGCATCTGCGTCTTGCTGAGATATACTGCCCGACGTCATAGGACTATCCGAGCTGCGTTTTCGCATGAGACGTGTTTGGATATCCTCTCTGCTGATGCGAGTCCTTGGGGAGCGTCCTGCGCTGCTATCGATGGAAAGGTTAGGCGAGCTCGCGGACTCGCAGAGCGGAGAGCCTTGGCGTAGGGCAGGTGAATCCCGACGGACGGCTGGGGGAACGATGGGTGAAGGGGGGTTCTGAGGGGAGCCTACGAACTCCAAGAGCGCAGAGGGAATTGGATCGAATACTGTGGCTGGCTGCTCGCTTTGACCAGGGCTGCGATGGTCATCTTCCTCGGAATAGAAGGTATCATGCCGGCCTTCCTCACAGTCCAATTCCAGGACATCAACAGCCGGACGGACGGTTGGCGGACTGATATATGACGGGAGGCTCGGAGGAGGGTCTACTAACTCTACGAACTCAGAAGGAAGGGAGCCAAATATTGCGGCCGCCTGGTCGCGGTGATCAGAATCAGGGGTACCATAGTCATCTTCATCCGAATGAAAGGGATCATTTTCCCCTTCCTCGCGGTCAAACTCAAGGACATCGCAACGCTCATCCCATGTTACGGTTTTTCGTCTCCGGCGCCTACGTTCAAGGGAGGGCTGGTCAGCAGTTCGAGGACCATGGAGGCGTTTGGTAACGAGCGATGGACGGGTGGGTGTAGCCGCCTTTGGTGGATTTGCACTCCTAGTATCAGAAGGCTCTGGAATTGGTGGGATAGGGATGGACTTGGAAGGTACTGGGGGTGGAGTTTCTTCCCGAGCGCCAGTAGGACGTTTGAATGGGCTCTTTGTGACAGGCTCCTTCTCTGCGAGTCCCTGGTAGACTTTCGACTGGCGGCGCTCCCGCTTGAGGGCAAATGGACGCTCGTTTTCAGCTTGGTCATGCATGGAGTCGGGGCGGGGACGCTTCTCGCCACTGACCCTACGCTGCGGGGGTTTAGGGAGAGGGATATTGCTAATTGGAGAAGTAGAAGGTCTGGATGGCGTTGGAATTGAAGACTTGAAAGGAGATTTGGAAACAAGATTGTTGTTTCTGAGATGTCTGTAACTGGACGAGGATCGACGGGCGACAAGGGGAAAGGCTGGTTTAGAGCTATCACGCTTTGAAATTCGAAGAGGTGTAGTGCCTGTGTTAGCAATCGGTGAAGAAGACTTGTTCCAGCCCATGGCAGAATTGCGACGTATGGATGATTGAACAGGATCAGACGAGTTGGAAAGGAGCGATTGTGGTGACGCTGTGGAATTTATATGTGCGCTCATTGTGAGCGCTATTATATGGTTCACCACCTGATGTCGTCGCTGTCGTGAACGTTGAGCTCGATAGTGAGCTGGTCGTTAGGGTCGTCGGCGAGAGTATCTCGGTTGTGGTAATGAACAAAGTGAATAGTCAACAAACACCGTGGGAATCTACGCGTACGCGTCGATGCATGTGATCGCGAAGTAGAAGCAAAACACCACTGGTCTGGGCTTCTAAGAATCTCTTTGGAGTGTTCTTGCAGCAGACTTAATTCCGCATATCTCGGCCGCATTATTTATCATTGCACATGATTCTGCCCTCCTCATGCACATGAACCAGACAGGGCTAGCCTGGCATATCTTGATTGGATGATTGGCTCGGTGGGGTGATGTCCTTCAAGTTGGACTTGATGATGGAGGCGAAGGTATTGAAGATAAAGTTGCAACCTAGCAATCCATGGGGATATCATATTATATATCTCCTGTCAATCATTGACATTTTCCCTCCACAGCCGATGGCATAAACCCACGTCTCGGATGGCAACGTCTTCAGCCTTCGGCTATTCCAACGTTGGTGAATTGTAGAATGTTGGGGCTCAACTTTTGTTGTCACTGATATCATATCTCCTTTCAGTGCGTGCTGTGGAGCTTCTAGGGTGTGGTGTCACAAGAGGTGAAATTCTAGCGAACGCCAAGCTGGATGCAAACTGCAGTAAGTGCTCGTATTCGATGTGTACCCAACCCGAGTCTGCTAGCTAGATCGTCGATAAATTACCATTTCGCTAGACACTCCAAATGCTCATCCTACTTCTATCTGTAGTTCCCCGTGCCTAACAATTCATGCACCATGCCACGACTTGGTGATTCTACAGCACGACTCACACGTGTTTTCCACACCTTTTACATAACATTCGCTTGCTAGGGGGACTGTAGCGAGAGCCGGGTGGAGGCCACACTCACACGGCTGTAGGTCACTGGGCTATTCTATTTTGACGCCGGAACAGATAATACAATTCGGGGGTTAGTTTCTCGTAACTACGCACAGCAGCGCGCACTCGTCGGACTTTGTTTTTCTCCGTTTTTATTACAGCGGCACAACAGCAAGTGCGTCCAAGGTAGGTGTAGAACAGATTTTCAAGTCGCATTTGCAGCATCGAGGTAAACATCCTTGTGACTGTGCAGATGAGTGCGGTGCAACACGCCCACTAGGCTGTGTAACCCCCAAAATGGAAGGCAGTCCACTTAACGGCATGCCTGGTCCAGTACAAATTAAGGGCTCCTGAGTTCACGAGACACCTCACTTATTCCCCCTCCCAAATGAGAGTCTCATGTCAAACAATAGAAAGGTCGCTATTTTCTGGGACTATGGTAAGCTTTCTATACAACTGCCTACCATAGCTCATGTCTTCTGTCAGAAAATTGTAGCCCTCCCTTGAATTCTCAAGGACATGCCATTGTAAATGGCATTCGACGAATTGCTCATGTCTTTGGATACGTAATATCGTTCAAAGCATACTTTGACATGTCCTCGCAGTCCTCCCAGAAGTCTGTCGGGTTTCGCTCCGACCTTCAGTCCTCTGGCGTGTCCATAATTGACTGCCCCCACAATGGCAAGAAGGAAGTCGTGGACAAGATGATTCTTGGTGTGTATTCCGCAAGGCGCCCGTAGTCTGCACTATGAACTTCATTTTTTAGTGGATATGATCACATTTGCTGTCGATAATCCCTCACCTGCCACCGTTGTTCTGATAGCCGGTGACCGAGATTACGCTTATGCCATATCAACCCTCCGCCTTCGACAGTATAATGTCGTCCTCGTCGTACCTCCAGCCCCAAATATTCCCCAGAGCCTGGAGTCTCAGGCCTCTGTAGTGGTGGACTGGAATTTCGCTGTTCTTGGAAAGCGCACAGAAGCCGATACAGCACCAGTGCGGCAACCTTATCCCAACCTTGACGAAGATATCGTAGAGCGGTTATCACGCGAAATTTGCGATTCGAACGAAGATCCTGCTGTCACTCTTCTTTCTTCGAATCTTCCCACAGCATCGGCCCATACACGGCGTGTCAGTGCAGCAGAGCTGCTACAGCCGTCAGTATTTGAACAGAGTTCAGACACAGCTCCAGGTGATGCTACTCAACCTGCCTCGACGTTGACGCCGAAGAAGGTTCCTAGCAAAATCCATGAGACGCCTGTACGTTCTAGATTCGGGTCTGTGGCGTCGCGGACTAGATCCGCGACACAGTCGACACAAAGTGTCTCAGACCTCGAACAAGGCTCGGGCTCCCCTCTCAAAGAGCACAAAGCACTTTCAAATGAAAGTCTCGCAGACAGTTTCGTCAGCTACGCCAACGAGATTCAGGATGCGACTCAAGATCCTTTTTCCAGAACCTTTACCGGTCTGGAACACAATCAGAACAGCGCAGAGTCTGGCCCACTACCGGCCACAGGCTCAAGTAACTTCCCACTATCTCCACCGCCCGCTGTCACGTGCAATGTTAATTCGAAGAACACTCCCCTCCCCCCTTTATCACACACCCGTACCATCTCAGGGGGCACCCCCATCTCATACGACGGCAAACCCCAGGACGCGGTGCCTCCTGCAGTGCCATTGTCACCTATATCCTCACGGGGGCGGAGTGATGACATTACTGCACCGAGCTCAACCAACATCGACCTTACCTCAGCCATGTTGGATGATCATGCCGTCGCGTCGGACAAAGCGGCACTCCAGGACGCCTTTGGAATTGATGACGAAGACGGAGATGACAGCAGCACTAGCGAGTTTGATGCCTCGGCTGACAGTCCAATTTGGACTACGGTCGACGTTACGAACCCTCTGTTTGATCCTCCGAGTCCCTTTACCCCTCCACATTCTGTAATCACCATGTCTTCGTCGACACCGTCTTCGCCGGCTCTGACTGCCTCCGATTCTGATGTGAGCACGTCTAACGTTGACGTTGACTCACAACAAGCATCATCTGTTATCAGTGATAACGAAGATAATCCTTCTGCGTGTCAAACGCCTCCTATCGAGTCCGTGGAAGATAAGATTCGACGCAATACACCTTTGAAGTTCCTCCCCCTGATGAATCGGCTTTTGCTGGCGAGGTCAAAAGGGGAAATGAAACCATCAAGGTCCATAATTGCTGCAGAGTTGATGCAGCATCATAAGAATGTGTACCTGAGCGCTGGAGTGACCAGGTTCGCGCAATACACTGCACTAGCAGAACATGCTTCTCTTATCCAGCTTGGTGGGCGGGAGGGCGACGCATGGATAACACTACATCCGAATTTGTTTAGGCAGGACATTGACTTGGATACACCTCAGTCATCATCCACTCCATCGACTGTCCACAACAACAACTCTCCTACGCCACAGGACAACATTCCTCATACCAAGACGCCAAGTCCGACTCCATCTCCATCTCCATCAGTTATGCCACCACCGACGCCAGGAACCACCAAACCACCCCCACTGAACCCAAACGCTGAACCTTTCAGGGCAATTGTGCCGATTCCGCTTTGCTTCCGGCCGCTCATTACCTGTCTGGCGAAGTTTCACACGGATGGGGTACCCAAGCCTGTTCGTTCAGTAGTTGGTCAAGGGCTTGGACTCGCGGCATATTCTCAAGCTGGCACATCCAGCCTGAAAGAATATCTGGCTCAAGCTGTGCACGCCGGTGTTGTGGAATGTGGAGGACATGGTGGTTCCGCGTGGGCGAGGCTTCACCGTGATGTGTTGAATGGAAAGCGTTCTTATTAGTTTGGTTTGTTGTTTATGTACGTTACGGTTCGAGTTTGTTACTTGTTGTACGAAGTGTATATCGGATATCGGGAATCAAGCGTTCCCTAACAGAGGGCTGTATTTCATTAACACGAAGTCAACACATAAGTGACGCCCTCGTCCCTCGACAAGATCTGAGACACCTATCCTTGTGGTTCCTTGCTCTTTCAGCGGCGCCCATGCAACATCTTTGAGCAGTATTTCAGCATTTGGGATTCTGTCAGGAGAGCGTGTCAACTTAGTACGACTTGATGGGCTTATCGGGCAGAGAAAATCAATGCTCACTATTCTGCGACAGCCATTCTAGTCATTGACCCATTCATCGAAATAAATGTATTGGACGGGCAACAGGTCATCTATGTCGAGAGTGATTGTGAGGTATCCTCGCTGACGGGACGTGATTCGGAACTTGACTGGGATTCATGATATTCCCAGTTCACGCAAGTTCAACCAGTGATACCACGCGGAAACCGTAAAGTTCCGCAGATGTTGTGCAATTCGCTCAAGACGCGCAGAAAACGCAAGATCTTTGAGAGAGGATGGAAGGGTCCGTGTTGTCTTCGAAACGGTATGTCGTGGAATGGATTGAAGATGCCCATATGACACGACGTGCAGGACCGCAGGTTACCAAACAGCATGACAGAGAGTAGTATCCAAGTATTATCCCCAGAAAAGTCGTCGAGAAACTTTCATTGCGACCCACCCGTCACTGACCAAAATTTCGAGCAGCTCCTTTGTGTGCTTCCCAATACTTATGACATCCTTCGTTACAGTCTACCACTGGCCCTGTTTATTTGATGCCATCGTAATCCATAACAACGAGGCAGTGAAATAAATCAATGAAGAGCAGGCTAGAGACTCCTCTGGACCTGATCAAACCTTCAGACAAAGTGCATGCAATGACTAAGCACTTGTAGTAAATTGTGGGTGTTAACCGTGACTTTGAGTCAAGACCTACCTGAAAAATGGGCTGATTTCGAGCTCGTCCTCTCTATCGACGAACACTCTCCGATGGAGTTGATAGGGTGCAGTACCGATTATCATAATTCATGCGACTGGCTAATATTTACATAAAAAATGTAGATAACCGTGCCATAGCCTACAGCTGTTCGGGCGAATGGGTTGCACGTAAGGCCAGTGGCCCAGTGGAACTAACTTTGAGGATCCGGCTTTTACCTCGTATAAGAAGAGTCAAGCCCTATCATTCGTTTTTGCATCTTTTACGTCTGGGTTAAGACTCACCTGCACCATGACGACAAGTGTGCATCCTAACGCACAGGCAGGCTTCGCGACTGGGACGAATGCATTATATGATCGGTAGGTGAACTATTTGCGCGGTCCGCATGCGTTAATTCTGTTGATTTGGCATCTAGGGTTCGCCCCATGTACCCAGCCGATGGTCTTTCTTATGTTTTCAGCCAGGTACCCAAGAGCACCATACCATTGAAAATCGTTGAGTGAGTTAAATGCATTACTCCTATACTTTCTCCCCTCAATTAGCTTTCAGGATTGGGGCAGGGACAGGCATGTTCACCCGTGCCTTGTTGGCTCACTCCGAATGGTCGTCGAGCATAGGCACTCTGCGAGCTATCGAACCAAGCGGTGGCATGCGTGATTTTTGGACGAAGTCTGTTCAAGATAATCGCTGTACTGTTGTCAATGGGACATTTGACGACACCGGCGTGGAAGATGGGTGGGCAGACCTCATTATAATCGCACAGGCGAGTGGTTCTAGACTCAACTAGATGCAGATGCTCATTCCTCAGTTATATAGGCATTCCATTGGTGTCTCGACTATGGGAAAGCTTTCACCGAGTTCGCTCGTATCTTGAACAAGGGCGGGGCAGCTGTATTTGCATGGTACCTTTCAGATAGGTTCTCTGTTGTAATTCTCTCCTGCATCAAATCTTCTGACAGCGTTGCAGTGAGGCTGCAGGTTGGGTTGCGCAAGTCCAGCACTGTGTTGAGGCCCGTGTGAATGGTAGTCCCCGATTTCGCCTCGATGTCTTGAGGCAGGCGTTCTCTACCCCTGAGTATACCTCGTTATTTCATCCCCAAGAAGAGAAACAATGGGCTCATTATGGTCTTGCCACCGACCAAACTGTCACGGATCGCGCCCTCAGTTGGAGTTACATTACGATGCTCCCTCCAGATGAGAAGGCTAAGGTAGCGGAGGGCATCAAAGGTATTCTTGAGCGAGGAGATGGTAAAGTCTGGATCAACAAGGAGCAGGGCACGTATCAGGACCCACATACGGCTCACACGATGATATCAAGAAAGAAGTAGAACCGTTGAGTAGTTGTCTATGGGCTTGTGGATCTTTAGAGGATCACCGGCCGGGACTATGTCACTTACAGGTATTTCGAAATTTGCTACGACGACCATTATTCTACCTATGTTTGTGTGGATCCCGAAGTCAAAGCTCTTCGCCAGCTTATGACTACATTTCGTACAGCTGAAATCAGGTATTAGACTACTGTGGCAATATGCACTGTGCTAATGGCAGTCGAGGAGCAAACCAAATTTCAGGCCAAGTTATCGGAAGCTTCAAAGTAGCTCAGTTTCCTATTGTAATTCCATTGATTCGCTGACCGACAACTCCTTCTTTTGTCAGGCGCTTTCATCTTTGAGGCTTTTATTAGAACTAATGACCAAGTCATTGGTCCTCCCACGCAATATAACATCCATCCAAATTTTTCGTATGAGCATCATCACAACAAGGATTTCGGCCAGAACACTGAAGAATAGAATCAGACGCAGCCACCAACTAGCACGTTGGTTGCACTCAGTCTTTCACCGATTAACCACTAGACCAGGGCACTCACGTGTGAGAACTGCACGGACAGCTCGCTCACACGTCGCATTTCCTTTGCAAGATGGCACCACCAGCGAACGCCGCACCTGTGTATACACCTTCATTCTACGTCCTATGGGTCACTGTAGTACTTAGTATTGACTTGACACCTATGTGATACCAGTGGGTGCCTCCGCGCTGGTCGGACTTTGCTTTCAAGTCAGCGACGTGGTAGAATGATACACTCGAATACTCCGTAGAGACGTTGTTTGCAGAACAACAATTCAATGTTCAATTTTGCATTTGCTCCTTCAGATATCTGCAAGCGCTGCCAAGCGAGCCTCGAGCGAGCCGCACTGCCCAGGAGCGGCGCAAAATTACCGCCTCCGAAATAGAAGGGGTTTATAAACTTACGGCACCTCGATTCCTCGAGTCTGGAATTGAGTGACTACGTACCCGTGCCAGCCTGAGTACACGACTTATACCCCCCCCTTCGCCAATGCGAATTTCATGTCAAACTATAGTAAGGTCGCTATTTTCTGGGATTATGGTGAGTTTCTACGCATAGTCGCCTCTGATAGTTCATCGGGTATATCTTCCGTCAGAAAATTGTAGCCCTCCCTTGAATTCGCAAGGACATGCCATTGTAAATGGCATTCGACGAATTGCTCATGTCTTCGGATACGTCACATCGTTCAAAGCATACCTTGATGTATCCTCACAGTCCCCCAAGTCTGTCGGATTTCGCTCCGACCTCCAGTCCTCTGGGGTGTCCATGACCGACTGTCCCCACAACGGCAAGAAAGACGTCGTGGACAAGATGATTCTTGGTGTGTATTTTGTGACTAGCGTCTGTACCATGCACTATATGCACTATGAACTTTCGTTTGTTACTAGTGGATATGCTTGCATTTTCCAACGACCATCCTCCGCCTGCCACCATTATCCTGATAGCCGGTGACCGAGATTATGCCTATGCCGTATCAACTCTCCGCCTTCGACGATATAATGTCGTTCTCATCGTACCTCCGGCGCCAAATATCCCACAGAGCCTGGAGTCTCAGGCTTCTGTTGTGGTGGATTGGAATTTCGCTATTCTTGGAAAACATACAGAAGCCGACACATCACCGGTACGGCAACCTTATCGTAATCTTGATGAGGATATCATCGAGCGGTTGTCGCGGGAAGTACGAGATTTGAATGAAGATCCTGTTATCACCCTCCTTTCCTCTTCCCTCCCCACACCGCCTGCCCATACACAGCAGCAGCCATCATCGATAGAAAGAAATACGGACTCAGGTCATGCTGCTCAGCCTGCATCGTCGTGCACGCCGAAGAAGGCCGGTAGCACAATCCCCGTGACACCTGTACTTCCTAGATTCGGATCTGCAGCGTCGCGGGCCAGATTCGCGACAAAGTCGACGCAGACGGTCTCATACGTCGACCGAGGCTTAGGTCACTCTCTCAAAACGAACGATACACTTTCAGAATTTTCAGATAATAGTCTCACAGACGATTTCGTCAGCATAGCTGATGAAATTCAGGATGCGAGTTACGATCCCTTTGTCACAACCCCCAGCTCAAGCTCGGGACTAGAACGCAACCATAACGGTGCAGAGTCTGACCTAACTCCTACCATGAACTTGAGGAACGCTCCACTATCCCCATTTCCTACCATCCCGTATGATTTAAATCCACAGAGCGCTCCTCTTGGCTCTCCGTTTCAGACTCGTATCATTTCAGGAGGCACCCCTGTCTCGTACGGCAACACACCCCAGGACTCTGTGCATGCTGCGGTGCCCTTGCCACAATCAATAGATGTCGACCCTACCTCAGCCATGTTGGATAATCGCATCGTTATGTCGGACAAAGCGGCAATCAAGGATGCGCTTGGATATAATAACAGAAACGGAGACAACAACAGTACCGACGAGCTTGCAAATGTCTCGATCAGTAGTCCGCTTTCAATCGAAGTCGATGATCCTTCATATATCGCACAGGTTGCGAACTCTGCTCTTGTCAATGATTGTCCGCTCACCCCTGAACCTTCTGTAATTCCCATATCCCCGACGTCATCGTCGACACCGTCGCCATCGACACCATCGACACCATCTTCATTCACACCATCTTCGTCCTCGATCGCCTCCGATTCCAACGTTACAATGGCTAACGTTAAGACCGGATCACAACAAGCAACATCTGTTATCACTGATAATAAAGACGAATCCTCAGGGTGTGGAGCGCCTCCCATCGACCGCGATTCCATCGAAAATAAGATTCGAAGCCTTACACCCTCAAAATTCCTTCCGTTGATCAACCAGCTTCTGCTGGCGAGGTCGAAAGGAACCCTGAATCCATCAAGGTCCGACGTTGCTAATGACTTAGTTCGGGTCGACAAGGATGTATACAAGCGCGCAGGCGCAACGAAATTTGCGGACTATGCGGTGCAAGCGAAAGAAGCTTCTTTGATTGAGTTTGGTGGGGGGACGACTCGAAGCAACTCATGGATAACGTTGCACCCAAGGTTCAGGCGGGAATTTGATGCACCAAAGTCATCAACCCCTTCAGCTAGTAATAACCCCCCTACACCACAGAATAATACCTCTTCATCCACGGCTCCGACGCCGCTGTCATCCACTGCATCACAAGGGACCACCAAGTCAGCTTCACTGAACCCTAGCCCTCCACCAGTTGTACCGATCCCGCCTTGCTTCCAGCCACTTATCACCAGCCTGTCTAAAATTCACAAGAATGGGCTGGCGAGGCCCTTCCCTTCAACAGTGGGCTTAGTGATTGGACCCGAGATATATTCTAAAGCTGGGGCGTCCAGTCTGACAGAATATTTTAGTCAAGCAATGGATGCTGGTGTTGTGCAATGCGGAGGAGATAGTGGACATGCGTGGGTGAGCCTCCATCCTGATGTGCTGAGTGGCAAGCGTTCCTGCTAGTTTGATCTATACTGTCTCCGGGCGTTACGGAGTTTTGTCTTCATTATCTGTTGTATAAGTATGTATTATAAATCAAGCGTTCCCGAGAAGAGAGCTATATTCCAAGGAAGTCGACACACAGGTGACATCCTCGTCCTCTTCTAAAGCTTCGACGAGATTTGAGACACTGTCTTTCTCATCGTCGGTGCTTCCTTGCTCTTCCAGCGGGGCCCATCTAACCTCCCTGACGAGTATTTCAGCATTGTCGTTCTGCTGGATGTACTGACGAAGTCCATCTTCTAACTTGAACAACTCGTCGGGAGAACATGCCAGCTAGTAGGACTCGATGAATTCAATTCTTGAAAACAAAATTTGAGGGCGTACCTCTATTCCGCGACTACCACTGGAGTCATCTTCCCATTCGTCGAAATCAAAGGCACACTGAGTCGACTCTGCTGTGTTGAACAGATCTTCTATATCGTTTGGGTCGAGAGCAATTTTGAGGTATCCTCGCTGACGGAACATGAACTTGACGGGAGCCTGTCGAGCACTGTAATGGTATTGAAGCAACATGTTGATGAAAAAAAGAAGAGGCTGGACGGACCCATGACGGTTGAGCACTTCCCTCACATTACTGAGGGTGCGGTTGATGTTATCAGTCCTACATTCTCTTCCCGCTAGTTTGGGTACAATATCATCGAAGAATTTTGGTAGGCACTTACATGATGATGCCCACAGAGCCGTGCATCATGGCTTCATAAGTGACAGCTTGACCATTGTTGTTCTTCCTTTTGAAAGCCTGTAGGACCCAGTGAGCCGCGACAGCAGACGGTGAGCGCGTGGAGGACGTGCCTTGAGCAAAGCATTCTCAATGTTCTCTTTCGGGACACCGGCGTCTTTTGCGCGTCGGACGGCAGTGGCTAACATAGAGTTCTCTTCAATAATCGGTGACCCGCCATCTAAATGCGGGACATAAGGTACTGAACAGGGTGCGCGTGGAAACATACATACTCCTGGCAGCGGCAAGAATGTCCTGTTAGCAAACGCGTGTGGCGCGTCCATTAGGAAGACATGCAAAGGAGGAGGCTTACGCTGGCGGCTTTGCCGTACAAGATGGATTTCTTCGCGTCTTCTGCACCTTTTCGTTGCTTTATTTTGGACCACTAGTAGGCGCGTTGGGTGCTATGAGTTTCTGAAGGCCAAGAGTTGGAGGTAGATCTTACTTTATTATGACCTGAGTACGGTGTTGAGCTCCTGGAAAATGGTCGTGCATGTGATGCGCGGGGCCAGGCAGTTGGTAGCCTCAAGCGGAGCATCCAGCAAACTCAAGTAAGTAGTGTACTGCCAGGCAGTCCAGTTATGTAACGTTCTACTAGTTACTGTGCTAGTTTTCGCTTGCCTAATACGTTAACAGTCCCTGAGTACAACGACACTTCAGATGTTGGAATCCAACTTGTCGGTGGAACGGGCACGGACTGCAAGGGAACCAAGGCCAGACCTCTATGGCGGGAGGCTACGGCTCTGTCTACGTCTACTATCGAGGACAGACTACGACACGCGAGGACTACTGTGATGTCTAGAAAGACGTTCACACGAGAAGTTGACTTATAAACATCAGGAAAAACCTCCCGAGGCTAAAATCACATAATTTTCATAAAACGATGTAGTTTAGATAGTTCTATGTAATTACAGGTATTAGGATAAAAACCGCTGCAAGATGATATAGTACGATGAGATTATTGATAATCATTTGAAGATACAAAAAGTATATCTGTCTATATATGAGTTCAACCAAAAAGTGTCACAATTATCGAGAACTGTATCACTAGTCCACTCTCGCGGGACAACAGCACCAAAATTCGGTATAAGATGGACACTACGTACGATATCTCCCAACGGCACGACACTTGCTATTTTTTCACCACCATGTAAGGCTCGCGAGATCTTGTAAAGTCCGTGGTGTTGATCGGGAGCCGAAGGAAATGGTGCGAACCATTCAATATAAGCCAAGTGGTCGGGAACCTTGACTGTTGGCGGAAACAAGAGTGGCAATATTTTCGAAGGTAACGAGAAAACGACTCGTACTTGCCCAACACGAACTCCTAGATTCAGACGACTGTGAGTGGCTCTATCCTTAGCAAATAGTAGTGGCTGAACGTACCTTCTATACCTCCACTAACAACATCTGGATTCCCACCAACACTCACGAGAGCCGTATCAGAACGGCGAGGCCGCAGACCAGAACCTGAACTCCGTTGTGGTCTGGCATGTACACAGTCCAACGTGGCTGTCGCATCGCCGTGACCACGAGCATCTACCGAGAGCCACTTGATCTTGTCAAAAACGGGGAGAGTTCGGAATGGGAAATGGACATCCCGTGCTAACGCATCTAGTGTTTGACTACGGAGGGGGATAGGATCGTTGGCATGGCTTATCTGTGTGATATAGCGTGCGAGTGCTTCACGGAAATAGGTAGCGCCGTAGTCTTCGACTAGCTTCTCTATACTGATGGCCTTTGCACTAGGGTGCTTCGCCACACTTTGAAGCCGACGAAAAGTCATATCGGGGGGGCGTGAATGGTAAGGCTCGGTCTCCTTAACACCAGCACGTCGCCAGTTAATATACTTGGCATGGCGCATAATCTTCTCCTTCCGCTCGAGCCAGCATGTCATCTGCACAAATTCGTCTTTGTGATTCGTAGCACGGTAAGCGTCCTTCGCAAAATCGATGTGAAGTCGTTCAGTGTACTCAGTATTATAATTGTCCGTCGTACCCATCATCATAATCATGGCAGAGTAGTGGCGAGTGGCGTGGAGTTTCGGGAGATTGAAATTTGAACGGATACCAAGGTCGATGAAAATGTCCTTATTCTCATGGAAAAGATTGAGTGCGTCATCCAGTAGCTGTAGAGTCTCGGAGCTATGACATGGATATTGAGCAAGATAAAGGAAGTCAAGTAGGCCCTGCACTGCTCGTAGAAGACGGCCCCCGTTTAGATTATTGGGCAGACGGATGCCAATCACGATACCGAGGAGAAAACGACAGATTTGTGCATGTTCTGTTCCGCTTATACGCGACAAGCCAGTGATACCCTTGCTGAACAGATGTATATGGTGGTTGGGAGGAAGACGGCGACAACGAGCATCAATTTCGGCCGCTCCACAAGCAGCCGACAACCAACCTAAGAGATGCTTTATCAAGCCTTGATATAATTGGTGCAACACGTCTGGCGTGATTGCACGGAATATATTGGCGAACGGGAGGTCTTCCCAGAAAGGATGGACAATAGGCTTGATGCCTGCTTCCGAGCAAGCACGAACAAAGGATAGGTTCCCTTCGTCGAGAGTAGCGAGGGCATCTAGCACCTTGCTAAGGTTTCGTAGGTGGAAAGGAGCTGTATTACTACCCGTTTCGCCAATGTCCACGTCGCATTTCGGACACTCTCCAAACTTGATCCCAGTAGCGAGAAGTTGTTCTGGGTAGTCACCGATGAAGCTGGCAAATAATAGGTGGCAACGGCGGAGGGCACCATCCCCACTAGCCATACGAAGCCCTTCTAGCCCTATAGATTTCAGTGGAGCCAGAATACGACTTAAGCATAGGCATATGCACGGGTATGGGTAACCCGTGCGGGTCACGGGTATGGGTACTACTGGGGTACGGGTGGGGGTCCGCACTTTGAGTACCCGGACCCACACCCCACACCCGCGCTCGGGTTTGACCGGTACATTACATAATCGAGAACTATAGCGGTACTTACTACACTTGTCCTATTGCTAATGCTTACACTACCTACTATAGCGTGCTATACCCCTCCATCTTCTTCAACACAACGCCTGCCTTCAAGCTCGAGCCATGCTGACCCAAGTCGTCGCCCACCGTTTGCAGTATGTGAGTGCGCTGATCCTCGTTTGAGCAAGAGCCATGCTGATCCAAGTCGTCGCCCAATGTTCGCAGGATGTGAGCATGCCGATCTTCGTTCGAGCAAGAGCCGTGCTGATCCAAGTCGTAGCACAACGTTTGCAGGATGTGAGTGCGCCGATCCTCGTTCGAGCAAGAGCCATGCTGATCCAAGTTGTCGCCCAATGTTCACAGGATGTGAGCATGCCGATCTTTGTTCGAGCAAGAGCCATGCTGATCCAAGTCGTCACCCAACGTTCGCAGGATGTGAGTGCGCCGATCCTCGTTCGAGCAAGAGCTATGCTGATCCAAGTCGTAGCCCAACGTTCGCAGTATGTGAGTGCGCCGATCCTCGTTCAAGCAAGAGCCATTCTGATCCAAGTCGTAGCCCAATGTTCATAGAACGTGAGTGTGTCGTCCTCGTTCGAGCTCGAGCCATACTGATTGAAGTCATTGTCTATTGTTCATAGCGTGTTGATCCTCCATCGAGCTCAAGCCATACTGATCGAAGTCGTTGCCCACCGTTCACAATGTCTTAGTAAGTTCTATTTTACAATCATTTTTTTCATATTTCTAACTTGATATTTATATGTACTACCCACGGGTAAACCCTGCACGGGTGCGGGTGAGGGTACGAGCTGGCCATACCCCCCAAAAACCCGCACCCTTCGTGCGGGTCCGGGTATACCTCGGGGTGCGGGTGCGGGTCAGGTCCCCGACACCCCAGGGTATACCCGTGCGGATCCCTACTTAAGCATGCGTAATAGAGGTTTGCCAAAGTTCGGCGACGCGAAGCTTTGTTGGCAATATGCTCAAGCCATGTACAAGGCAAATAAGCTAGAAGTATATGTGCGCCACGCGAAGGCTTGCGTCGAATTTCCTTCGGGATGTTGCCAATGGTGAGATAGACAGGATAGACGGACTTGTTGCGGAACAATGTTACTTGTGTTTTGTCGGATGAGATAATGATGGGAATAATGGTGCCACCTGGACTGTGCTGGTCGAGTTTTTTCTAAAGTATTGTAAGTATCATATCTCCTATGGACATAATCAATTATTCGTACCTGCGTATCCCACCACCATTTGCCGGTGTGCATATCGTGAAAGAGACGAATTGTCTCGTCTTCGTCAGAATAGTGCCGTTGAGGGGCAAATGCGAGATATTTGGCGAAGTCAGGATCACCATACAATGACTTGACACATTCGATCACATCGCGGTAATAGACGTCAAACGCTTCTCCAGCAACAACAATCTGCTCGCGTTTGAACTTTGGACGGCCTGTCGGAAGCTCGTGATCGACAATGGCATTCAACTCATTTGCATTCTTGAATGAGAGTGACAAGTGTTCACTGACCTGAGAATCAAAATTGTTCGCTATTAATTACATAGACTTTCGGAATAAATGGCATCCAACTTACCCCCTCGATTGCAAGCAAGTCTGACAATGCCGTTGAACTCACTCCACGAAGCTTAGCCCATCTCGCAACCTCCCAATCCATCTTGGATGCGAAAGGGTGATACAGATTCTCCTCCGCATTGGCCAGGTGCGCCCCATATTCCATGTTCGCAGCACGACAGTTGGTTATTTTTTGGCCAGCACACGGATCTGGGTAGGGCACGACCACACAACCATGCTGCCCTTGTGCGCGTGCTTGAATATCCTGGTGATCTTCCCGGAAAGCTTCATCATCATCAGCCAAATCTTCAATGGCATCCATGCGATCATGCTCGTCTTGCTCTTCAACGGGAGGCTCCCATTCAGGTTCGAAATTCCACCCCTCATCATCTACATCATCGTCTACATCACTACCGCCAGATTGCTCCTGAGCCCGCTGGAACTCGACCTCAGGTTCATCCTCTCCATCTCCTTCATCAGGATCCAAGTCAGGCCAAGTCGACTCGTCAGGCTCAAATTGTGGCCCGTTGGCATGTATTTCAAGTTGGGAGCGTGACTGATGGTACAGTGCTCGACAATGTGGGTTGCAGCTCTTGGCAAGATGTTGACTGAGACCAGTAACAGTGAAATTGTCACGGGAACAAGCAGGGCATCGAGTAGACATAGTGGCGGAAGAAAGTCGAGAGGACTTGTGTAGAAGGGGTGAATCAGCACCCGACCAACGTTACACGCGAAAACTTCCTGGGAGAAGTATAGAAAGCCTGAGGGGATTAAAGCAGCGCCTGACCAACGCTACACGCGAAAACTTCCTAGTAGGGTGAGGCAAATGTCAGCTTAATTAAACCTGGTTTGAATGGAACACACCTTGAAATGAACTGCCTCCGATACCATTTCAAATGCATTGTTGAATCTGCAAAGCACGGAAATTAAAGCACAGAAATTGTGAGGTGGTCGCTGTTCAGGCAGTGGAGATAAGTGTAGGAGAGGGAGTGAACTAGCGCGCCCGACCAACGTTATATGTGCAAACTTCCTAGGGTGCACCGTGCTACTAGTTGAGAGAAGTATAGAGAGGGGACCAAAGCAGCGCCCGACCAACGTTACACGCGAAAACTTCCTAGGGTGTGAGGCAATGTCAGCTTAATTGAAACCGGTTTGAAGTTCACGCACCTTGAAATGAACTGCCTCCGGTGCCATTTCAAATGCATTGCACATGCAGCAGTTCTAAACTTTTGTGAGGTCAGTGAACTGGCGCCTGACCAACGTTACACGCGAAAACTTCCTGAAGCCGTGCCAGTCGAGAGAAGTATGGAGAAGGGACCAAAGCAGCGCCCGACCAACGTTACACGCGAAAACTTCAGGTGACAAATGTCAGTAAATTTGAACCCTTGAATTGACAGCAACGCCCCTTGAAACTTGTGCTATGCACTAAAATTTAACGGTGCCCTCAACTCTTTCTCCTCACTCTTTCGACCTTGAACCTTCCTTCCAACACTCTTTGTTAGTTTCACATCCTTTCAATCTATATACAATGTCTGCACCTCTTAATTCTCGTGGTGAGTGACTCTGACAGCTCACCGTCTTCAAGACAGCAGAGTAGGCTCACTGGGCTTCAATAGAGCCCCGGAATGCGAAGAAAAAGGCTATGGAAAACGCAGGTAAGTATGCGAGTCTTCGCAGAAAACTTGTTGATGCTTACCTCCGACTTGAGTTTGGATGCCTAATAAGTCAGCGAGGAAAGGCGCTCGCCAAGCATCCCCAGACCCGCCAGTGTCACCTGTTGCCAACTTACCAGTCAAAGCAAAAAGATCAGCGCTGGTGATGTTTTTTTTCTACCATACGAGCCAAATACTCACCTTTGATTTAGGTAAAGTGCCGCGCACAAAAACAGATCCACCTGCGCCAAACTCCACGACCAAAACCAAGGTTCACAGTGACAGCTCAGCGAAGAATTTATCTTCTAAACTGAGTGCGTCACTAAGAGTCTATATAAAACATAGGACTCAGTACTAACCTTCATGGTACATGATAGAGCGTCAGCGTACCTTTGTAGACGACCCAGAGGAGGTCAGTGGTGATGAATCTGATGGCAGCCATGCGGACTTGCAACCTGTAAAGCCTCGAGGTTAGTTATTATGACGTCTCAAAAGGAAATCTTACTCATGTGACCGTGCACATGTGACAGTTATTTATCGTCCTAAGAAACTATGTCGCACTTACGCCATGTGTGACGTCTCAGCATTATTCGAGTCTGACTCTGACTCTGATCACCCCAAGGAGGACATCGCAAATGGTAATGATTCTGATGCTGACCGTGAGGAGAGTGAGGGTGAGGAAGCTGAGGCCACTGCCATGATGCTTTCAGACGAGGTTAGTGATAGTTTACTACTACTAGTACTTCAACTGGACGGTCACTGATACTATACTGACACAATAATTGACATCGCAACTCAAGGTCCCTTCGCTCGTCAGCAACAAGTCAAAGCAAGTTGTTCAATCTCGTGGCAAATCCCAGTCCGCCCGCGAAGCAAAACAAGCTGCAGAGGTGAGTGTATATATATTGAATTGCAGTGGCCCTCAGGCTGTATACTACTAAACCTGACATTATCTTTAGATTCCAGCCTGGCGCGATTTTGACAATGCTGTTTCAGAGTCCGTCGATGAAACTACTACTGCATGTGGCGAATCCTCCGAAGCTTACTCCAGCGACGTTGAACGTGCCCAGAAACTCAACTCTGGACGGACTCGATCGGCTCAAAGCATTGCTTCTCTCATTCGAACGGAGAAAGGACATATCAAATTACTTGATCAAAACAACGAGACTCAGCAAGTAGTGCGGGATGCGATTATCGACGCCAAAGGCTACATTATCTTTGTTGATGCTTATCCTGAGCTTGTCGACAAAAACCAAGTCTCACTGCAGTCTTTGCTAACAGTGGCCAGGAACCGTGGCATCCACGCCATTAAAGAACATCTTCAAACTGATGCGATGTATGCTGCGCACCTCGCCAGTTTGGTAAGTCCTTTGCACGTCTCAATTTGTTTTGACTAACTTTAATTACTACTCAAGGTGGAGCCACGCATTCCATTGTTGCGCCGTGACCTGAAAGTGGCCGCATGTACAAACATCGATAGCTACTTTCGTCTTGGCAACAACTTGGTCAAGGCGAAGAAACTTATGGAGCAGCATGCATATATATATGCCTTGAGGTTTGATGTAAGTACTGTCATCGTTTGTTCTTCACTCGATATCTCTTTGTCATATTCCCTTCTACATACTAGTATTATCGTTGTTTCTACATCTCAAGCCTCTAACTAACATTCTTCTTCAACAGTCGAACAACGACGCTTCGCCCATAGGGAAAAAACCCTACCAGGGTGACCTGCTGATCTTTCTCATATACCAGGAAGTCTTCAGCGGTGCGAAGTCTATCGGCATCAGGTTTTCCGAGCGCTTTGTCGAACTGGCAAACAATAAGGGCAATCACCCTGAAATACCCATTCCATTACTGGCACTCGTGGCAACCGCGGTATGGTCCTTTCTACTGAGCTTCATGCTGTATTTATTCGTTTTCAAGGTCTATGCGGCCCTTTTCTGGAAGACACTCGGTTCTCCAACAAAGTTCAGCTTTACAGGGAATCAATTCAGCGAGACATATGTGTTTCACACCAAGTTCCTCGAGGACTTGAAGAGGGACGCACCAGGAAAGTTTCACTGCATGATGGCTGACATCTACGAAGCTGTGCAGTAAGTTTCGCTGGTGTTCATGGTGCTGTTTCGACTCGGATACTGACTCTGCTACTTGAAGGACCTTGAGACAGAACGGGAATGAACATATCGCCAATGAGCATCAAGCTGCGCTAGGGCTGCTTGACCTGGATGGCATGGCAGAGGATTAGGTCCTGTAGTCACATTCATACCTATAAAAGTCGTAGATTCGTTGATTGCAGTCTTTGGCTGCGTGTTATGCATATGTTTTGATCAAATATTAGTCCGTTTTGATTGCAATGCTGTCCGATGCGCGTGATTCACTATGCAAAGTTTGAAATATACTCTCTGAAATTCACAATATTGTAGTCTAATGTCAACTAATTCGTGATAATTATCCTTTTAAAATAAGGCAGTAAGAAAGTCCTTCTAAAAAAAATAATCTTCCTAGTTGTTCTAAAGCCGATAATTTGAGATAATACACGATGATTATCAAGAATTATCGTAGTTTCAAGGAAACTATCATAGTTTAGAGGAATTAGCCCGGGGAGGTTTTTCCTGATGAAGTGACTTAGAGTCCAGCAGAAAGAACTGTTAGAACTAAGCTTGTTGCTTCGGGGAAAGGATCAACTACCCTAACAGTAGTTCTACGCGAGTTTAAATACTGTAGGGTACAGAAATCTATGGAATTGGATAGAAGGAAAATAAAGATGAGTAAGGAGAAAATGTAACGACGAGAATATTGGAGGTAGCAACCAATATTCGATGATGATTTGTTTACGAGTGTAACATACGCCCTCCAGGTCAACTCGACGAGGGGACCTTTACTTTTGGGGCATCCTTTCTAGGCAGGGCTGGCTCCTTCAGACACGGAGGCGAAGGCCGCTATCAGGACGAGAAGGGTTAGTGTGTTAACTAACAACAGGCCAACAGGGATGTATCTACCAAAGACGTCATCAGGAGTGATATCCAGGAGGTGACCAGACTGTTCGAGGTCGAGTTGCTCGGCAGCTGCGATGATCTCTTCGACGTCTGGGCCTGGGTCAGGGATGACGACTGCAGGTGCAGGAGAGGGTGCCAGGATGGCAGCGGCATTGTTTGTTACCTCGGCAATGACTTGGGCAGCCGTGGTGGGGCCATTACGGGGTGCACGTCCGGATGTGTGGCGAGGGGGTCGCCTTGTCTGTTCATTCCTGAACGGATGACCCTGGGGTGGGTGACGATTGTCGAGCTTGATGTTACGCCCTCCGGGACGGTAAGGTGAGAACTCACGGGTCCGAGCAGATCGCTCGGCCCTAAGGAGTTGATCAAAGGCATGGGCCTCCTTCCTGATCGCTAGTTCCTCTAATGGGTAGCGACGGGCAAAGTAAGCACCGGCAGGGATACGAGGTCCACTGGGGTACTCACTAGCTTGAGCTTCAGCTCGAAAGAATCGAGTGAAGGCACTCATGGCATCGGAGTTAGACTCACGAGCTCGGGGCGGAAGGTCATGCCCTCGACGCCCCCCACGGTGACGATAGCCTCGTCCATGGTGGGACGATCTTTCTCGACGAGGACCAGGTGTCTGCTTGGAGATTCGAGGGGGAGCAGGGTCATCAACGACCATGTCGTTTACAGATGGTCCGTGGCCGATAAGAGGCATAGGTAAGGCGATGGGGAGGCTAGTGGGGGAGGATGCTACAATCCTAGGAGACATGGCAAGAGGCTTTATACTCTGTACATCGGGGGTTCGGCTGACTTCGGCTAGGTCATCTAGTAGCAGATCAGATATGCTATTAACGAGGGTTCTTGCTTCTGCGAAGGTACCAACGGTTGCGAGTTGAATATTAGCGTGATTGGTGGGCAATTTCTTAGTCAGGTGCTTAATACCTGGGACTCCCAATGCCTCTAGATACTGTCCGAGAGCCTCAAGATGCGAGACAACGTGGTAAGGTAACCAAACGTGATCACCGGTCGTATAGACGACCTTGAAGATAGCATCAGTGCCCGCTCCGTGATGATCAGAGATGCGGGAGACTGACCACTCCTCGGGGGTGCCAATATCCGAGACCTGCTGCAGCTGACGACCCGGGAATCTTCGGTCGTCGTTTGGGACATGTAGGCGTGGAAGGCCGGGTGGATGCCACGTTGCTTTAGCTCGCTTGGAAGATCTAATAAGAAAGTATTATTCTTGTAGTCTTTGGCGATTCGAAAAGGGCCAATATACTTAGGCGAGAGTTTTCGGGCGCGCCCTTTGGGCAAAGAAAGGTTCTCAGTGGATAGGTAAACCAAGTCGCCCTCGACGAAGGGACTCTCCTTCCGTTTCTTGTTGGCGTTAGCAGTACTTTTGACGCGCGCAGCTATTATAGCATCGTGTGCGTTCATAACCGCGTCCTTCATTCGTTGCAGGAATACGCGGACACCGGGATATTCGGTCGCGGTGTTCCAGATGAGGGGTGGAGGTAGCATGCCGTAGTTTAGTAAGAATGGAGGGTACCCGGTCGTGCTAGAGCAAGCCGAGTTCATTGCAAATTCAATGGCGGGTAGCTTTATAGCCCAGTCCCGCTGATGAGAGGATACTAGGGTCCTGAGCATCTGAGTCATGGTACAGTTAGCTCGTTCAGTAGCTCCGTCGGATTGAGGATGGAACGATGACGACATGCGAAGTTCTACACCGGTCAGTTGGTGTAGCCTCTGCCAGAAGGTGCTGGTGAACAGAGTGTCACGATCGCTAACAATATTAGATGGCATCCCATGTAACTTATACACGGAGTGAAACATCACCTCCGCTATGTCTTTCGCTCGGTACGTCTGTTTCGTGGGGGCGAGATGGACCATTGAGGTCAAATGGTCTATTGCTACTAGGATCATGTCAAATACACCACTTAGCGTTTTTGATTCGGGGAGCGGGCCTACAAAGTCTATCCCTATTGTCTCCCAGGGACGAGTTGGGACTTCGAGTGTTTCCAGGAGCCCGTAGGGCTGGTGGTTCGACGGTTTTGAGACTTGGCAGGTGGGGCACGAGTTGCAGTAAGATTGCACGTCTGCGGCGATGGACTTCCACCAGACGTTTTCTCTGAGGTACGATAGAGTCTTTGAGGGTCCCAGATGTGCCAGTATGGAGTGGGCGTGAGATATGATTAGTTCTCTTATGCGCCTGGTGCCGATAATGATATCTGGGATGCACAGGATCCGCTTGTCTGAGTCTTTGAGGAATATGCGTCCATTACTCACTTCAAAGTTCTTAAATGCTCCAGGGTTACTTAAGACTTTCTCAAAGAACGGGTCTTCAGAGTACCGGTTTACTATACTGGCATGTACGTTGGTAGATGGGTCACCTAACATGATAGTTTCGGTGAGGATCGGAGGCGACTCTAATAGGTTTGAGGCGGAGTCTGTTAGTGGGCCGATGCCTACACTAATCACACGGTCGGCATTATCCGTGTTTGCGTCAAGGGTGACGTCACTCGTTTCCGTGTGGTTCTGGCCCAGATCTTGCCTTATGACGTCGTTATCGGTCACCTGGTTGCTTATGTGATCATCGGTCACATTATTCTGTAGGTCCATGTTTGGTCTTGCTGGTACGTCCTTCTCAATGTGCGTTTCATTAGAGGATGCCTCAGGTGAGTGTCTCAGTTCTTTTCTCGTATGTACTGACCCGCCCTCCAGTGATGCAGGGGGTTTCCCCAACCTCAGTATCACTTTTCGGTAGGCTGGCTTTGCTGGGCCGCCCTGGAGTGCTGTGCTCGCGGCAGGATGTTGCACCTCTTTGGGTGCCTCCTGGTGTGAGGAGCACCCACCCTCCAGAGGTGTGGTGCTTGCCTGGCCAGTGCCACTGGTGGGGTAATATGCATACGGGTACGCTGGTGAGTCCTTGACCCCACTTTGTACTGAGATCGGCCCTGATGTTGGTCCGCTTCGTTTCGCAGGTTGGGATCGGCGTGCCCTGTGTCCAGCTGAGTCCTCGCTCCCCACCACCCTCTGTCTGGCAATACGAGCAGATCGGCGTGCCTCAGTTGCCCCCAGAAACAATGGGGAGCCGGTATATACGGGTGCTGTCACAAAGTTAAGTAACAGGCCACGAGGTATGTCTTCTTCTTCGACGCCTACGTACTCGCTGGCTGACCTTACTGTCCCCTTAGGTTCATTGCTATAAATACGCGACAACGCATCTGCAAGCCCATTTTCCACGCCAGGAACGTAAGTAATCTCGAAATCGAACTCGCTGAGTGCTTCTAACCAGCGAGCCTGCCTAGGGGACAGCTTAGTCTGGGTGGATATCCACTCCAGGCCCTTGTGATCAGTGTAGATACGAAAACGGAATCCTATCAGTAAGTGACGGAACCGTTTCAGCGATTCTACGATAGCTAATAGCTCTTGCTCATGGACAGGGTAATTCTGTTGTGCAGAGTTGAACTTGCCCGACCAGAAGGCAATGACAGCTGCAGAGCGCCTGTCTGTACCTTGAGATATCACGCCGCTGGCTCCTGTAAGGGAGGCGTCTGTGGTGAGGTTGACCGGTGAAGGTACAACAATTCAGATGGTGAGTCTGAACAATGTTGGGTCTTGCAGAACCTAGCTGCTATTCGACCCTAAAGGGTTTCTGGACCAGGCTCAAGGCTCAGAGGAGAGGAAATATCATGAAAAACTGCTGAAGACTCAGACTCATACTGATAACTGGTGAAAAGATAACTTTCTTATGTAAGCTACAAAAGTGCCAACATAAGGTAAGGTAAAAACAGTCTCTACAAGCCCAGCCAGAAATGAATCCCTACACCGGTTGGGACCCATTGATGGCTGAAGGTAAGTCAATTGCTCTCCTGCTAATGTTTCGATGAGTCTCAATGCACGCTTTGACTAGGTCGAAGGCACGTTGGTCAGTCGGGGTCCACGTCCACCGCGTCGTCTGAGCAGCTACCTTGGACAGGTGTTGCATGTCGACGCGCACGCCAGCACAACCAGATGCTAGGTATCCCACTGAACCTATGAACTGCATCAGCAGTTCCTTAGATGTAGGAGTCTTCCAATTGACGACCTTGTCTACCTTGTGCGGGTCGAGGCGAATTCCCGCATCGTCGATGACATGACCAAGGATGTGCAGCTCATCCTTAAAGAACTGCAACTTGTGTTCACCCAGGTAAAATTGGTTATCCCTCAGCGTGTCAATGACAATCCTAACGTGTTTGACATGCTCCTCAGCGCTATCGGAGTATATCACTATATCATCAAGGTAGACGTCCATGAACGCTCCGATGTAGGCGCCAAAAACGTGGTTCATGAGAGACTGGTACGTGGCTCCAGCATTGCAGTCTCCAATTTGCATGACGTGACTGATCATCGTACCATCAGGCGTTGCGAAAAGGCTCTTAGGTACATCTTCCGGGACGATTCGGATTTGTTCATAGGCATCCTTGCCGTCTAGCAAGGAGCGGTAGGGATGCGACGATACGTTACGCAGTATGGTGTCGATATCGGGTAAGGGTGATGCTAATTTTCGAGTGTTCTTGTTACGCTGACGAGTATCCAAGACAGTGCGAAGTTTCAAGGATCCGTCTTTCATGGTCTTCTTCATCATGATCATGGGGACGGTGTTCGTGCCACTGAAGAACTCCCATCTACCCGGTCGCACATAATCGTCACGCTTCGCTCTCCATATAGGACGGAGGGCATCTGGGCACCTGGACTGTCTCCAGGCGTATACCTGGTCATCATTGATCAGGGGAATAACATGATTGATCGCGCGCAACGGAGGCAGAGGTGTGTCGATAGCATCCTTACAAATGTCCTTCGCATACTCAAGGAGTTCTCTACGATATGATTCGATCAGATTCGTATCCGGACTGGAACCTTTGAGTTCGAGGACTTGTGTTTGCGCACCGCAGATAGGTAAGGGTTCCAAACTCCTAATCTTAATCTCTGGCGGATTGAATCCGAGTAGCACTTGGTGTTGAAACAGGAATGGCATCCCTAAAATGACGTCATACGCTTCAAGATTGGCTATATCGAAGGTTCGTGGCCCAGACACGTTTTGGTAAATTAGGTTAACCGTAGTATTAGCCTTAACCACACTTCGAGATCCGGATACGGCCAATTGGAGGGGTATTGGTTTCTCCAGTAAGTCATACTTTAATTTCAGTTGGTCTACTAGCGTGCTTGACACGAAGTCCGTCAGTGAACCAGAGTCTAGGAGTGCCCTGCATGGACGGCCCTCGATCTGGACCATCACCACTAGTGCCCTGGGCAGTATCCGCGACGAGCTCTTAGGTCGTGCCGCCTGCCGTTGGAGCGATCGGATATCAGGTAGGTTCGTGGAGGTACCGCCACAGAACAACTGATCCGTGGAGTTGCGAGAGATATCTTCAATCTCCTCGACAGATGTGATATCTTCAATCTCTTCCGGGGATGTGATATCCTCAATCTCTTCTCCTGGTGTGATGTCCTCAATCTCATCTTCCTCCGAGGACTCGCAGCTAAGGAGATCAGGAGGGCTTTCCGTCTCGCCGTCATCTTGGTTTATGCTACACACGAACCCTCCCCAGGTTGGCTTGAAGGATGACTTGGTGCGTATCAAGTCTGAGTAGTTGTGAAGTTTCAAACTGACTAACCATGCTACTATATCGAATTCAGGGTCGCTCAACTGATCATAATACACGATGTAATCATCGTAGTTATGTTTGTCGCTGAGGAGGTAAGTATCTATACCGCTGTGGGTGGACAGGCTGAACCGGTCTTTTCCAAAGGCATCATAGATCGCATCCTGTAGTTCGTCGGTCGGTAATGGTATGGCTGACCGTAGCGTGGACAACGTGTTAGAGATTACAATGAGGCGCTCAGTGCTGGTAGGCTCTAGGTCCTCTCCAATACTGACAGCCATACCATACAGGCCTTGAGCTACCCCTTCTTCTATTGCGACGGCCCGGATGTCAGCGTCAGATATCCCAACAGCGTTGGCCCGGAGACTTGATGTTTTGGGGCCTGGCCTATAAGGGAGCTTGTGCCTTTTGGGGCAGTCTTTAGCTAGGTGGCCCTTTTGCTCGCATTCGAAACACTGATCATTGTCGCGTAGGCGTTTTATCACGTCCGAGCTTTTCTTGGTCTGACTACGACCGTCCCTGTTCTTCGGTCCTCTGGGCTGGCTGTTCTCACCTCTGTGATGTCTGTCACCGGCTGCTTGGACCGCGTTAGCTGAGAGCGAGTGAGTTTGTTCACGTCGGTTCGAACGTCTGTGCTCACGCCAGTCTGTAGAGTCAGATTGATGGTTTCTGCTGACGATGCTAGCTACTGCCGTGGGGTTCAGAGCAAGGAGAGCGTTCGTATCATGCGAGTTGGCCAGGAAGGCACGTTCTGTACGTATGGTCCTTTCTTCTAGGGTTTCGAGATCAATGGAGTTAGGTTCGTATCCTTTGTCTACCAAGGCCGCTCTGAGATAAGGCTTACAATGTACCCAGAATTGGAGCACGATGTCCCGTTCCCGAATATCACCAGCAGTGTCCGCGAAGTCTCGGAGACGTCTAAGATAGTCTTTCACGGTATGTTTAATGTCCTGCTTACATTCAAAGAACTTTTGACGCTGCTGCATCCTGAAGTCAGACGGGAATACGTAGTCGAACAATTCCTCAAAGAATTCAGTCAGTGAGTATTTCTTCTCGAGGTCCAGAACGTCGCGCTCATAGAACCGGTATGCTAGGCCTCCCAGGTATTTCCCTAGGAGGTTGAGGGTTTGGCCGGTAGTAAGTCTAGCACGCTTTTTCCAGTCTCTGGTCTCTCTGACCCATTTCTTGAAGGTAATGATGTTAGCCTCTCCATTATAGACGAATGGGGGTTCATTCTTAATGAATCCTTGCTGATATTTGAGTAGGGTAAGCTTGGACCGATATTTTCGTCTCGCTACGCGCTTAACTTGTTTAGTATCGGGCGAATCGCTATCGTGGTCCGATTCCGGCTCTTGGTCGAGGAAATCTGCTCCAAATTCGTTATCAGATGGTTCCTCTTTCAAGGTTTGTCTTTTCTTCCTTGATGTTCGCTTGGATGGCTTATCAAGGTCACTCTCCGTCGACGACCGTTCGTCGTCATCGTCAGATGAAGGGGGCTCAGGGTCACCGGGATCGTGTCCCTGTTTGGACGCTCCGGTCATAGCTCGTTTCACAGAGCTTTCAGTTGGTAAGAGTGATGACGCGCGCTGGTAACGGAGGTTGTTAGTCTGGTCACTCTCGATTTTGACGGTTTTTGGAGCTAACTTGGCTACGTTTGTCTTTTGGTGCGCGTCCCTACTCTGGACACTGACTCTTGGAGCACGGTGAGCATCTGCTACCTTCTGATTGGCTTCACTTTCACGCAACTGACTTAGACACACCAGTCTTTCGAGGTCGCAGATACGCTCTTTGAGAGCATCGACCTCGTCTACGCCAGTGGTAGGTCCTCCTTCGTCATCGCTAGATGCGGAGGGTCTTAGGGCCGTCTTTCCTTTCAGGTGCATAGGGATGCGTGGGTTTTGAGTACCCGTCCCTATGGTATTGTCCTGCCGGTTGCCTTTGAGGTCAGGAACGTCCCCGATATCATCATCAATGGGGAGATCGGCCCAAGAGGGCATTTCATTGAGTCCGTCACTATTTAACTCATCGTGACGTCTGTACTGGTACCTAAGACTGTCTAGTAGCCCAATCTGAGGGTACTTTCGACCCTGCTCGCTGTTTTGAGCCATAGGTGGGCTGATGCTCATCGCGACTGAGCCAAGCCCATCACCATCATCAGGTGCGGCTATTAATTCGTTCCCACCGTTATCCAATAACGGGGTACTTAGGGCAGTAGGGACACATGGTGTCCTGCCATCAATGACAGCGCCATCAAGATCAGACCCAGTCTGATTTGTTGGTTCGCCGGAGGGAGGCTCAGCGTGAACGCTATCACTCCTCTCTAACTTGGAGACGGATACGTCATCCAGGTTCCAGGCACTCTCGACACCCAGTTCGAGAGCGCCAGCGTCCATGCTCTCTTCACTCGTTGGAAGCGAGGTCAGAGGGGACAGGTTGTCTGGTGCGCTAGCAGACATTTTTAACTCGAGTTCGAGGTTTCTGAGATATATCTTGAGGATATTGAAGAGGTAAAGAAGAGTCGAAGTGTTGGAGGGTGATCAGTCCTCTGTGCAGCGACCGTAGTTGGTAGAAGGGGGGAAGGGGCTTAGTATTCGAAGTTCAAAATATGTGATGTCTAGAAAGACGTTCACACGAGAAGTTGACTTATAAAGCGACTTAGAGTCCAGCAGAAAGAACTGTTAGAACTAAGCTTGTTGCTTCGGGGAAAGGATCAACTACCCTAACAGTAGTTCTACGCGAGTTTAAATACTGTAGGGTACAGAAATCTATGGAATTGGATAGAAGGAAAATAAAGATGAGTAAGGAGAAAATGTAACGACGAGAATATTGGAGGTAGCAACCAATATTCGATGATGATTTGTTTACGAGTGTAACAACTACCGACTACGAGACAGGACTCCTGCCACCGCGCCCGGACCTCATGGGACGCCCCGCTCCATCGGAGTGCAGGCAACCTTCCTCTGCAATGAAGGTCATGAACCGTTATCGGCATGACAGAATATACAGATTACAATATTAATATACATAGGTATACCGGCGTGTGAATGTACATATTCATATTGTAAAAAATAAGTAGTGTCCCTTCGTGCAGTCGTCCAATCTTAGATCGTTCAACTTAAACCAATCAGATATATTTCGCCGGTGGAGTTTCAGCTCTCTCGTGAAGTTTCTCCACACCAGCCTCCGCGGCGCGGACAGCGCTAATGAGATCGAAATGGAAGAAGGGGGTTTCAACGGGGACAATAGGCACTGTTCCCGAAGTAGGATGAAGAGACTCGCTGTGGGCCTCGATGTCTTCGATGCCTACGCTGGAGGCACCATCTAACAATTTATCACGGTGACCGCCACGGTGGGGTACAACAGATGCGGTTTCGTGAGAAAGCTCAACTGCTGGGGTACCAATGCCGAAACCTGCGGCTACAAGAGCACGCCGGATCCAAGGGGACAGGATGGTAGCAAAATGGAACTGTAGTGTTGTATTACATTAGTTGTGCAGCGTGGTGGGATGAGCACTGTGACTGACCTCTACAGGACGGTTTGCCCATTTCTGGACCTCAGTCCGCGTGTCTACGAGGGCTTGGACAGATGTAGTGTCGATTTGAGATCTAGGAATAAGAAATGAGTGAGTTTGTTCGTAAAAGAAGACTGAGGGTAGATGTCTTACACTCCAGAGAAGTCTAGCACAATGGCATGAAGAGCAGGTTTTTCATTGTTGGCTGCTTCTGCACTCAGGGAGTTGCCACGAGTTGGTCCGGGATCGTTCCAGGGACGATCGGCCATTTTTATCGTGCTGAAGTCAATTCCACGTCGCATGTTTTCCCTCACATGATCGACAATGACGGAGTTGATGATGGCGCAGTTGGGGTATAGGTAACTTTCTTCGAAGCGGTAAACGATCACACCCGGAGTAGGAGGGTCAACCTTGACATATTGGTTTGTTACGCCATCCTTGCGCAACGGAACAAAGACTTCTCGTGATTCAGTTGAGTTGCGTGTCAGGGTAACCTTCCCGAGGAAATATCCTCTAGGGTGTGCGATGCGAACCAGAAGTAAGGCAAACGATGCCGAGATGGAGGTGTAGATGCCGTTCTCAATAGACGAAAAGACGGTGACCAGCACTGCAGCCAACCAAATAAGAGACTCGAGGGGGGAAACGCGCCAGTAAGAGTACGCTTGGGAAGGTGACGCGACAAGATCAGCGACCGCGTGGATGATAACGGCCGAAAGACCAGCGCTAGGGATCCAGTAAAAGGCTGGGGTAAGGCCATAGAGAGCAACGATGACAACCATCGCAGTGAAAATACCAGCCAGAGGAGTCCGCACGCCCGACTTCGACTTCAAGGCAGAACGGGAGAACGATCCTGTAGCGGGATACGCATGGAATATAGTGCCGAGCGTGTTCGTGACGCCTATAGCGATGAGCTCTTGGTTGGGATTGATCTTGTATCCATTGACCCGTCCAAATGCTGCAAGTAGTGTGTCAAAAAGGCATAACGGTCAGATGATCGGTGACTTACATCTGGCAATGGCGATGTGCTCAAGAAGGAGAATTATGGTGGCGACAGGGATCTGTGGCCCGAGAGCTTTGACGAGCTCGCTATCGATGACAGGGGCACCCACATCTTGGAGCCCTGCGGGAACAGTCTCCAAGATGGCAATCGGATATTTACCGGAGGCGGTTTTACGGTGTCGGCAGTACAGCCAAGAAGCTAGGGTCAACACTATCACCACAAAAGCATTTCTTGCAACTGAGATGAAAAAGAAAAGTCGGGCTGGAAAAGATACCATAAGAGTTTCGTCATAGGGAGACTACATAAACCACAGCTTACCTCGTCTGGGGTACCGTTTGGATAAGTGATCACAAATTATGCGAATTGCGTAGAGCGAAAAAAGGCCCGTGAGACCCCAGGCGGCATCTAGTTTCGTACCGGGAAGTCCCTTGAGAGTATTGATGATAACTTCGTACGTGGCAGCTCGAGTACTATGAAATATGTCACAAATTGCGTTTCGTTCGAAATGACTGGCACCCTTACCTGAACCCGGTAATGCCCATGAGGGCAGGAACCTGACCTGCAACTATATTTATCGCAGATCCAGTCATATACCCGCTGACTGCTGGTACGGGTATGAACTCGACGATCCAACCGATGCGCAAGAGGCCAATCCCGAGTACGATAAATCCACAAACAAAGGCCAATGTGGTGGCTATCAGTGGGCCAGCCCATTTACCAGGGTACTGTGCATCTACAGCAATGATGATTTGGGCCACGGTTTGCGACATAACTGCCACTGGTCCGATAGAAACATCTTTGGAAGTCGCAAAGAACTATGAGCAAATTTAGCGCCGCGATTATCCAAAGTAGCATGCACGTACGCAATATACAAGAACGCCAACGAAGGATGAATACAGACCGTACTGTGCAGGAAGCGAGGCAAGCTACGAAGGCTTGTCAATCAACGAGAACAAGGGTTAAGATGGAATATTACTATTGCATATGACATGCCCTGCGGGACTAGCACCATCCCTACGGTGAGGCCAGCAATCAGGTCGCCAGTGAGCCATCCCAAATCTGAAAACGTGTACGATTAGCCTGAGCTTGTCAAAGGGAGAATGAAGTGTCTCACTGTATCGGGTGATCCATCCAAAGATTGGAAACAGACTGGTCAAGTATTTCACCGCCTAGAATAAGACAGTCCAAATCAAATACTCAGGGTGAAGAAAAGTATAAGGATTCCGTACCCCATGCCTTGGATCTTTCACGATTCTCTTCAGATAGGTTTCAGTGGTGATTGTAGTTACTGTCTGTTCGGGATTTCCAATAATTCTATTGACAACACGCTTTGCTGTCGAAAGCATGGTCGAACTACTAGTGGCTCAGATGGGCCCAGGAATGAGAGGGTCGGGTAGATATTTACTACGGGTAGCTGGGCGCCGTGTGGACAGATGCAACAGATGTTGTGAAGAATGGCCACTGCGCGAGCAAACCGGAATAACTGGATGGCGGGTATCCATTTTATAGATGCGGCAGTCCAGATTGATCCGTTAAGTTACGTTCTTTCTGTGAATCATACCACGCTGATGTCGACTGAGCACGCCATTGATGGTCAAAGTGACGATAGCTCTGACTTTCAAGCTGATTTGGAGGGGGTTCACATCGGTCCACATGTACATGTTATATGCGCTGGGTTGTAATTCATCATCTATTCTCAGTCGAGCAATTGGACTTTGGATATTTACTGACCATGGAGTATTAATGTTCTTCCGATCCGCTTCCACGTTCTGGTCCACGATGGTGCCAATAGATGGTGCCATCGAATATAATGATCCAGGGTCAGTAGAACGCAGGTGCCTTGGAGCAGGTCAAGTTCGTGACGACTGCGGTCACTGCGCAGCCACAGCACTGAGTTGCGTGCCATCTTTCAGTCTGATTTCAAATTGGCACCAGTGACGAGGTCGCGGTAAGTGTACAACATAGCGGCTGCACTAGAGGACTGGTCCAGCCGTCCTTGTCATTTTGAGGCAACAATTTGCTGCAGTTGCAGCGCTGCAGTCAACACTGCAGTGGGGAGCCACACAATAGGCATTGCTGATGTAGAATTTTCGGTAAAGCTCGGTAACTTACCTAGCATGACTAGTTTTTTGGGGTCCTGATAGTCGGGGTGCCACGTGGTGCTAAACCAAGAAGCAATCCACCCTGACCTATCATATATCAGATTTGAACTTTGCAGATGCTTACAAATTATACCATCTACATGCAGGTATTTGCAATCAAATCAAGACTATCAAGGATGTACATTTGGCCGTTTCCACCCATGGTATGTAGTCCGGGTATTTAAAGCTTTGTGATGTGGAGTACAATTATAATACATATTGTAAGCATTTTATAAGTTTATCATTTTTGCGTCGGTTACCCGAGGTGGAACACATTTAGCCTAGCGAAGGAGTTTCCTGATGTTCAACTTGAACCAATCAGATAGATTTCGCCGGTGGAGTTTCAGCTCTCTCGCGAGGTTTCTCCACACCAGCCTCCGCGGCGCGGACAGCGCTAATGAGATCGAAATGGAAGAAGGGGGTTTCAACGGGGACAATAGGCACTGTTCCCGAAGTAGGATGAAGAGACTCGCTGTGGGCCTCGATGTCTTCGACGCCTACGCTGGAGGCATCATCCAATAATTTATCACGGCGACCGCCACGGTGGGGCACAACAGGTGCAATCTCGTTAGAGAGCTCGACTGCTGGGGTACCAATGCCGAAACCTGCGGCTACGAGAGCACGCCGGATCCAGGGTGATAAAATAGTAGCAAAATGGAACTGTAGTATTGCATTACATTAGCTAGGCAGCGTGGTGAACACTGTGACTGACCTCTACAGGACGGTTTGCCCATTTCTGGACTTCGTTCCGCGTGTCTACGAGAGCTTGGACAGACGTGGTGTCGATTTGAGATCTGGGAATAAGAGATGAGTTGATTGGTAGAAGGAGACCAAGGTTAGATGTCTTACACTCCAGAGAAGTCTAGCACAATGGCATGAAGAGCAGGTTTTTCATTGTTGGCTGCTTCTGCACTCAGGGAGTTGCCACGAGTTGGTCCGGGATCGTTCCAGGGACGATCGGCCATTTTTATCGTGCTGAAGTCAATTCCACGCCTCATGTTCTCCCTCACATGATCGACAATGACGGAGTTGATGATGGCGCAGTTGGGATATAGGTAACTTTCTTCGAAGCGGTAAACGATCACACCCGGAGTAGGAGGGTCAACCTTGACATATTGGTTTGTTACGCCATCCTTGCGCAACGGAACAAAGATTTCTCGTGACTCGGTTAAGTTACGTGTCAGGGTAACCTTTCCGAGGAAATATCCTCTAGGGTGTGCGATGCGAACCAGAAGTAAGGCAACCGATGCCGAGATGGAGGTGTAGATGCCGTTCTCAATAGACGAAAAGACGGTGACCAGCACTGCAGCCAACCAAATAAGAAACTCGAGGGGGGAAACGCGCCAGTAAGAGTACGCTTGGGAAGGTGACGCGACAAGATCAGCGACTGCGTGGATGATAACGGCCGAAAGACCAGCGTTAGGGATCCAGTAAAAGGCTGGGGTAAGGCCATAGAGGGCAACAAGGACAACTATCGCAGTGACAACACCGGCCAAAGGAGTCCGCACGCCTGAACTTGACTTTAAGGCAGAACGGGAGAACGATCCTGTAGCGGGATACGCATGGAATATAGTGCCGAGCGTGTTCGTGACGCCTATGGCGATGAGTTCTTGGTTGGGATTGATCTTGTATCCATTGACCCGTCCAAATGCTGCAAGTAGTGTGTCAAAAGGGCATAACGGTCAGATGATCGGTGACTTACATCTGGCAATGGCGATGTGCTCAAGAAGGAGAATTATGGTGGCGACAGGGAGCTGTGGCCCGAGGGCTTTGACGAGCTCGCTATCGATGACAGGGGCACCCACGTTTTGAAATCCTGCGGGAACAGTTTCCAAGATGGCAATCGGATATTTACCGGAGGCGGTTTTACGGTGTCGGCAGTACAGCCAAGAAGCTAAGGTCAACACTATCACCACAAAGGCATTTCTTGTAATTGAGATGAAAAAGAAAAGTCGGGCTGGAAAAGATACCATAAGAGTTTCGTCATAAGAAGACTACACAGATTACAGCTTACCTCGTCTGGGGTACCGTTTGGATAATTGGTTACAAATGATGCGAATTGCGTAGAGCGAAAAAAGGCCCGTGAGACCCCAGGCGGCATCTAGTTTCGTACGGTGAAGCCCCTTGAGAGTATTGATGATAACTTCGTACGTGGCAGCTCGAGTACTATGAAATATGTCACAAATTGCGTTTCGTTCGAAATGACTGGCACCCTTACCTGAACCCGGTAATGCCCATGAGGGCAGGAACCTGACCTGCAACTATATTTATCGCAGATCCAGTCATAAACCCGCTGACTGCTGGTACGGGTATGAACTCGACGATCCAACCGATGCGCAAGAGGCCAATCCCGAGTATGATAAATCCACAAACAAAGGCCAATGTGGTGGCTATCAGTGGGCCAGCCCATTTACCAGGGTACTTTGCATCTACAGCAATGATGATTTGGGCCACGGTTTGCGACATAACTGCCACTGGTCCGATAGAAACATCTTTGGAAGTCGCAAAGAACTATGAGCAAATTTAGCGCCGCGATTATCCAAAGTAGCGTGCACGTACGCAATATGTAAGAACGCCAACGAAGGATGAATACAGACCGTACTGTGCAGGAAGGGACGCAAGCTACGAAGGCTTGTCAATCAACGGGAACAAGATTTAAGACAGAATATTACTATTGCATATGACATTCCTTGCGGGACTAGCACCATCCCTACGGTAAGGCCAGCAATCAGGTCGCCAGTGAGCCATCCCAAATCTGAAAACGTGTATGATTAGCCTGAGCTTGTCACAAGTTGAAGGGTCTTACTGTATCGGGTGATCCATCCAAAGATTGGGAAAAGACTGGTCAAGTATTTCACCGCCTATAATAAGACAATCCAAATCGAGTACTCAGGGTGAAGAAAAGGATTTCGTACCGCATGCCTTGGATCTTTCACAACTTGAATGCCCTTCAAATAGGTTTCAGTGGAGATTGTGGTTACAGTCTGCTCGGGGTTTCCGATGATTCTATTGCCAACACGCTTTGCTGTCGAAAGCATGGTCGAACTCCGAGTCTGTGGCTCCGATTCAAATGGGCCCACCGGGAATGAGAGGCTCGGGTAGATATTTATGGGCAGATGGGCGCTCAGCGTGGACAAATGCAGCAGATTCGGCGCAAGGCAATCAAGACTGGCTCCAAACGACAAGTGATCACTACGTTCGCAACGTAGCACGACCGCCTATGATACAGTTTTCTGTGATGTTGCGAAGAATGGCCAGTCAAACGAAGGCGGGTGTCCATTTTATAGATGCGACAGTTCAAATTGATCCGTCAAGATACGTTCTTTCTGTGAAGCATACCACGCCTTGATGTCAACTAAGCACGCCATTGATAGTCGAATTGGCGACAACAAGCAGATTTGCAAAGGGTTCAGGCATTTGTCTACCGTGACATGTACATATTATATCCGCTGAGTTGAAATTCATCGATGATCTATTCGAATTCTGAGTGGTATTTATTACTGAGCATACAATGTTCACCGCGATGAATGTGATGGTGCCATCGAACACAATGATCCAGGGGCAAATAAAACGCGGAGCGGGTCATGTTCATGACATAGGCACTGACTCCGCAGCCACAGCACGGGGTCGGCGCCTTTCAATCTGGCTTCAAATTGACACCAGCGACGATGATTGAGGCCTGAGAGCGGCTGCACTACGTTGCAAGGTACAACTCTGTCAGAGTCGTTCCCGCCGCCCGGAACAGCGTGAGACTCGTGTAGAGAGCTACGCGACAGTCATTCACACACGGCGACAGCATACTCGTGGAGAAATTAAGTTATGTAAATCGTGACGTTAGTACAACGTGATGAAGTACAGGTACTAAGTACCTGCCAGGCAAGCGTGCACGCGACAATGCAAGTGCCATGCCATCCTGTGCTATCCACAAGGACAATGTTCCTCTCAGGGTATTGCTTGACAGGTTGTCAGAGGCTTCACCACTGGTACATTCGATGGCGACATACAGGCTAATTTGATAGTATTACGCCACGCCCTGGCTGTATCATTAACGATCAATTTGAGGGATATGTGCACTGACCTGAACGATTCTTTGTAATTTGCGAAAGCCTGGCCTCAGTGAGTATATGAGTTCAACTAGAAAGCTTCAAAAACTACAAGGTCCTAGGCTGCCGTAAATGGGTCACGTGTAGCAACTGTTTTGCACTGTCCGCTGTGTAATGTTGTACATACTCTCGTCGCTGTCAAGACCAGAGCGCAGTGCGCCTGTATCACGAACAGATATCACGAACCCATCAGTAACGATATCGATTTATGTCTATTCACCCAAAGCCTGTGCCTCTCGTGGCACCTGGTCATACACGCCCAGTAACTCACCTCTCTTTTTCACCACTCCAAGACGATGGCACCTATCTTCTTGTGTCCAGCTGCAAAGATGGCAATCCGATGCTTAGAGAATGGACCGGAGACTGGATAGGCACATTTCTGGGTCATAAGGGTGCAGTATGGTGCACAAAACTCTCTCCGGATGCTTCGCGAGCGGCATCAGGAAGCGCTGACTTCACTGCGTGAGTCTGCCGCTCCAATTGCCACCTTACTTCCTTCCTTGCTAATTATAATTAAAACCAAGGAAAATCTGGGACACCTATTCAGGAGATGTCTTACACTCATTCCCTCACAATCATATCGTTCGAACTGTGGCAATCTCTCCGACGTGTTCTCACCTTCTTACTGGAGGTCAAGAAAAGAAGGTCAGAATATTTGACCTTGCACGGCCAGACGCCGAGGCAGACTTCCTTGGCGATGTTGGCCTACCGTCCCATGATGGAACTGTGAAGAGCGTAGTTTGGGTTGGAGAACATACTGGTGTATCGGCTGGAGATGATGGTATCATCAAGTTTGTTATAATAACTAACTATGACAGAACGCCACTGACGATAATGTTGTACAGATGGTGGGACCTGCGAACACGAAAACTTACAACAACTATGACATTCCCTAATCCCATAACTTCGATGGAACTATCGCCGCAAACCAAGCGTCTGGTTGTGACATCGGGAAAAACTGTTGCATTCATACCTGCTTTACCTAGTGGTACTCCAACACATAGTCTCAACCTAGCGTACTCGCCATCATCCGCATCCGTTCATCCTATCCTTCAAGACCGCTTTGTCACAGGTAATCTCGGTGACGAGTGGGTCAGGGTCCATGGAATGGATGGTGAGGAGCGGGAAATCTTGAAGGGACATCACGGACCTGTCCACTGCGTCGAGTTTAGCCCTGACGGCGAAGTATATGCAAGCGGCAGCGGTGTGTTTTCCTCCTAACTGTAGGCATTCTTATCTGATTAGGCGTCAATTACGTTACTTTTCAGAGGATGGTGAGACTTGTTCGAACAGAATGGTTTGGAGGATATTGACAGGTATAATGTCACAGGTACGATTCGACTCTGGCAAACAACACCCGGGAAGGCATACGGCTTGTGGCAAGGTAATACTAACGGTGGTTAGGAGAGAGTGGGAAGGAGACACTGCACACCGTCTAACATCTTTAGGTCATACATTGTCGATTAGTTTGTGGAAATGTTCGTTGATCGAGCAAGGGGATACATCATGTAATGTCAAGAAGCTTACAATTCAATCATATCATACTGTTTCCAATCTGCATGACTATCTTTATTCAACAGCTAGCGGACTTGCATGGAATTACTCAATCATACTTCCACTGGGGCGCATACCAGGAGTACTCGTGGGTATTACGGTTGAGAGAGGCTGGGCAGTTAACTTCTTGCCTGCTGTCAAGTTGTGTGCCGGAGTGACTTGGTTGGAGAGATGATACCTTGATATCAATCTCTTCCTTGCGTGTTGCAGTCTTATTATTAGTCACATGCTCGTCCGAGACTATACTTAACGGGGATCATGTTGAACGACAATTTCAACTCTAAGCGGCGGCCGTTACATCGGACGGTACCATGGTTTCTGAAAGATAAGCAGAGCCAATCTATTTTGGACTCGGAATGCCAATTACTCCTGTAGGGGATAGGCTGGCGCTATTGCTCGTCTATACTAATATGCGCGAGCCTGGCATGCTTCATCTGATCCTGTATCCACGATAAAGTGACACCTAACAATGCTGAAGTCGATTACCAGCTGCTCTGGCAGCCTAGCAATCTTGCGGCGCTCATCTATTTACAAGAGTGGAGTCAGGTTAGCCTCCTTGCACTCTAGTACACCCGCAATCCAAAGAGAGGGCTTGGGAGATTTTGCATTAACAGACCGGGTTGCGATTGTCACTGGAGGCAACCGTGGTCTCGGACTCGAGGCTGCATTGGCGCTCTCTACAGCTGGTTCGCGTGTAGTATATTGTTTGGATCTCCCGGAGAAGCCAGGTGAAGATTGGAACGCCGCTCGCCAGAGCCTAGCAAAACTTGACGGTGCAGGAAGACTCGAATATGTGACTAATGATGTCCGTGATCAGAAAAAGCTGCTCCAAACGGTAGAAGAAATTGCAACAAAGGAGGGGAGGATGGATATTTGCGTCGCAGCAGCAGGGATCGCTGGAGCCGCGCGGCCTTGCTTGGAGTATACAGAAGAAGAGCTCGAAGAGGTGTGTCGACGTTCTGTATTTGATCGTGAGATCATAGCTCAACTTCGTGAGAGGTTTATGCTGTAAACCTCAAAGGAGTGTTCTTTAGTGCTCAAGCTGCTGCAAGGCAAATGCATCGGTTCCAGACACCGGGAAGCATTATTCTCCTGGGCTCCATCGCTGGCAGTATTGCTCTGAAGGTAACCATAGTTCAGCTCTTCTCGCTTAGTACATACCCTTGACTACTGCACTTGCAGCACACGCCAGTACTTCCATACAATACTAGCAAGGCTGCAGTGATACAAATGGCTCGTGTCATGGCATGCGAACTTGCACCAAACAACATCAGGGTGAACTCGCTATCACCAGGTTATATTGAGACACCGTACGTTCTGTGTTCAAGTTGTGTTCCAAAACCCTCTGACGCATAAGTTTACAGCATGACGACAGCAACAATTTCTGCGCGACCGGAATATAAAGCTATATGGTCAGAGCAAAGCGTCATGAATAGACTTGGAAAGCCTCACGAACTACGTGGAATTATAACGTGGCTGGCATCTGACGCATCGAGTTTTTGCACAGGAAGCAAGTGCGTAGAATGTTTGGTTTTCGGAGATGTGAACATTGACGTGAATATTTTCTAGCATTGTTGTCGACGGTGGATATACCGCATGGTAGAGCCGAATTGAGTTCTGAATTGATTCAATGTATATGTACTTGGAGTCGTCTAGCATTGCCACCGTTATCTTATCTTATCTCCGAGGTCTCTCCACATTGGGGTAGGTGTGGAGTCGTGTCTGCTTGAGCAGCTGCAAAGTTCAAACTCTCCAGAAATGACCACCTCACAGGAAACATCCGCTGTACACGCTACTTCACGCAAAAGCAGTGATTCAGCATCACCCACAATGATACACCACCGTCAGACATTGCAGCTACCTCTCCCGATTCCAGACATCTTCTACTCCGCTGCTGGGGGTGCCCATTACTCTGGAGCGCCTGTGTCTGAAAATGACGACCAAGTTATCGTGTCTCCTGCCAGTGGAAAGCCCAGCCCACCCATGGACGACATAATTCGAGATCGCATCATGGTTGATCTGAATGAGCTCTACTGTTGTCGGCCGTCAAAGGAGATTTTTGAGAGAACTTGGAGCCACGATGCAGTTTTTGAGGTCAGCTTCATACCATTATTCAACTCCACGATTCTCTCATTCTGGTAGGATCCTTTGGTCAGATGCGAGGGTTATGCGCAATATGCTCCTCAGGTGCGACTCTCTAGCCCATGATATACTTGCCAAGATCTGAGTCGTTCACGCAGTGGTTTGCCATGGCGAGTAATCGTGCGTTCAAGTGAAATGTCAAATCCTCATAGGTCTTCAGCCTAAGATTTTTTCAAAGTCAGAGACAATCTCGAGTCGGGTCATGTCATTTACTCGCGTGCCGAAACGTCTCATCTACTCGCAAACGCAAGAATATACTTTACGGTACATAGGATCCAAGAAGGTATACAGTGTCGGCTAAATTCTGAGAAAAGTACTCATGTTTTTCGCTCACTTCTTTCTAGCGAATTGAGTCTATCATCGTTGTAGATTTGGATGATGACGACAAGATAATACATATGGCAGACCAGTGGAACGGGGAGTCGTTGTCGTCTTGGTTTGGTGTCAATCTCCTCAGACGCGCAAATGCCCTTGTCACGCCATGGTTCGTTGGTACACCCAAAGCTTGATGCCAAGGTACAGAGGTCGTTTGGACGTCAACTTTGATGCTATATCGTAATTCGCTAAGTGCTTGTTTCTCGGTGTCCCTACTTCGTCTTCGTCTCTCAAGTTAATTCATTGTTACTTTTGCAGCCCTTGTAGTTGTTGTATAGGTGCCTCTCTCTTTTGCCTTTGTCGCCCAAGTTAATCCGTCGATGCTTTTCCAGCCCCTTTATTGTATGTACTATATCTGAGGTGCGTATCATTCATTATCTAGAAGTCGCACTGACCGTTCTTATAGGTGTTCACTAAGCTCCACACACGTAACGAGCCCCGTTCTTTCTAGTTACAATACTACACGCAGAGATTTGTCTTGTAAAGTACTACACTTATGGAAATATCATATGATATCAGATGCAGGAAGGAAGCCTTAGAATTGTACTATCAGATCAAACGCGGATAAGCGGATACTCCAATTCTTAGATTTCACTAGGAAGACCACTTCGTTCCGTAAATTAACACCTCCTGCTCATGTGGTCACGAAGTCATTCAGAATTTAGTACCAATTTCATTATTCATACGCCGCATCTTGCCTTGATTATGGTCAGGTGAGCTCACAGAAGGCCGCGCCTTATTGGGCGTGCAGTATAAAGACCCCTCATGTTTTCCCTAACGTTACTGGGACGAACCTGTCGCAATCATCTATCATGTCCAGGTAAGATGTGCCAAATGTTTATTTCAATCTATCTATCTAGAAATGTTGCATGAAACGGAAGCTGAATATTCCCATAGTTCTCAATTCCCAGCTCAATCTGCATCTCCTCTCGGTAAACTCGGTATCGAGGCTGCCCTCGAGGCTGCTGCAGACCCATCCATCACACCAAAGCCCAAGATCTTCGATGAGTTCGCGCTAACCGACCGCGTTGGGCTTATCTCCGGCGGAAATAGGGGCCTTGGCCTGGAGATGGCTCTTGCATGTTGCGAAGCTGGTGCACGTGTCGTATACTGCTTCGATCTTCCAGAAAAGCCATCAGATGAATGGATCGCAAGCAGAGATTATGTCGCGAAGCTAGGGAATAACTCGCGGCTGGAGTATTTCAGCGCGAACGTCACTGATCAGCAGGCGCTTTGGAAAAAGACGGAGGAGATTGGTGATAAAGAGGGAAGAATGGACTTTTGCGTCGCTGCGGCTGGTATTCTCAAGTCACACATAGACTGTCTGGAATACCCGGCGCAGGAGTACAGGGAGGTGGGTGATTGTCGATAAGCTGCTCTCCACTGGCAGTTTTTGAAATCAACCCCAATGTGAAGGTCCTGGATGTTAACGCCAGTGGTGTCCTCTTCACTGCGCAGGCTGCTGGCAGACAGATGTCGCGCTTCGGACGCGGTGGCAGTATCATTCTTATCGCATCAATGTCAGGCAGTATCACTAACAGAGTGCGCATCTCCCAAAACCCGCTATGGCCATGTTTGCATGCTGACCCTGTATAGGGCCACGCCTGGGTATCGTACAACAGCTCCAAATCAGCTGTCCTGCAGATGGCTCGTAGCATGGCTTGCGAGCTTGGCGAAAAGAAGATTCGCGTCAACTCGTTGTCTCCAGGACATATCTACACCAGGTTCGTCTCGCGATTAATTGCATTGCAATGCTAAATCATGATGGCTGTGATAGTATGACTGCAGCATATCTGGACAAACAACCGCACCTTTTCGATGTGTGGTCTAGTATGAACCCTCTGGGTCGACTCGGACGCCCTGACGAGTTGCGCGGTGTAGTGACGTGGCTTGCATCTGATGCATCGACATTTTGTACGGGTAGCGAGTGCGTTGATTCCGTTGTATTTCTTTGCTTAGCAGTGAAGCTAACTGTAAAATTCGCAGTATTATCGTCAGCGGTGGTCATCACTCCTGGTAATGGAGCACTCGAGGAAGAAGGGGTTGCTTGTGGGAGGCTTGTTGTATCTGTAAAGAAATGAGACTTGAACCTCGCATAGACAGTCACAGGAACTTCATATAGCAGTAAAGTACCCTTCCATACGTGTAATCAAGGGGATTGCTAGGCAATCTCCAGGGTGAGATTGGAAACCTCTTTCCGAGCAGCGGCGTTGTCGCGGGTCCATTCTATACGGCAGAGAGCACGTTATCTCCGCAGCTGACCGCAAAATTGCACCACCGTCAGTACTTGGTAATCACAAAGTGTAAATAGATGAACGAAAGGCAATTGACTGTGCCTGTGACCGGTTTGGACTCTTTGGAGATCCTTGACAGCGGTTGTGCGAGGCTGCGGACAGTGACTGCTGATTCAAATACTATCATCGTGATTGGCAGGAGATTTGCAACGTTGGAGTGGTGTATCCGCGACTGTGAGCCTGCGTGTCGGGAGTGGCAAGGCCAAAAGGATACTAGGACACCCCGTGACTGCCAAGCTGCGAGCCTGCGGCACTACACGGCTGCTACTTCGCCTAGAGGTCCTCGTCACATACTGAACCCAGTGGCAAGGAACTGGTACAAGTTAGCAGCCAAGTATTTCTTTGTATAAAGTGCTTGCAATTATCAATTGTTTGAATTTAAGAAAATGTTTTTGTGGTTGACAAAGTGCTAAATTTGGATAGATCTTGATCGGCGCAGTCAACGACTGCGGATTCTCGAAATGCGCAGTGGACAAGGAACGGTATGCCCACAGCGTTTACTCTTGCATTCCGTCCACTCATCTCGCAGTCGTACTAGAAGTATATCTTCACTTTTAAAACCTCTAGCAGCAGCACTTCTAGCTTTTCGAGCTGCTACAGGTCATGGAATCAAGCCATGAGCCAAAGCCTTCAAGGAGGCTAAGGGACCGTGATCCCGCTCAGCCAACCGATTTTGCAGAGCGTATGGTTGCCTTCCAGAGAAGAAATGCCGTGTATGTTTCATTTCTTTCCTATGTAACTCATCTGCTAAATTTTATTTTATTCATTCAACTCATCTAGTGCAACTCGTCCTCGCGAACGCCCTGAGCGAACGCCGTCATCTCCATCTACTTCTCGTCTGCAACCTCCAAATCCCAATCCGCCACCCGTTCCTTCCCGCAGCTCTCCCGCAGTGACATCTCCACGCAAGACTCACCTCGCACCTCATGTTATCGTGTCCCATCCAGAGGCAGACCCAGATGACTTCTCACGGCGCCTCAAGATATCTACGTCCCCTCGCCCCCATCATCACGCAAAGCAGACTCAACAGGGAAAATTATTCAATCCCAACACAGATCCCATTCCCATGAGACGGACAACTGAACCCGAATCAATTTCTGATGTAACAAGTAGTTCTTCCCCGCCGCGCAACACCCTCACTTCCCATCAGAGGGAGCCGCCAGCAAACCGTCAATTATTCGACCACAGGAAGGATGATCCTGTAAGGTTTGCTGTGTCGGTTATGGCCCGTCCATCCTCAAATGGTGGTAGGCCTCCACCTACACCTAAATCATCAGGAGACTATGTCTCCGCGTCCTCGACTTCCTCGTATGCTCATTCCTTGACATCAAGCTTCACCCTTTCATCTGGCACGACGGATAATTCATCTGCATCGTCCGCATTATTCGATAGCAAGCCCCGTGAGGATGCAGGCAATAATGCGTTCGCCGTTCAGCTTAAAAAGCTGTACCGCAACATATCCGCTCTAGAAACAAGGATCTTAAACGAGGACCCCGATGATCTCGTAGATGAAGGTCGCGTTGTTCTCCAAGGACGAGGACGCGAAGTTAGCGACGAAGACCTCCAGCAGCAAAAATGGACGAAGCTGATCTCAGACCATAAACGGTAAGTAGTTTTCCGGTTTTCATCATAATACCATTGATGGAGTGCGTACAGACTCGCTGAGATGATGCATAATCTGATGGAGATCTCCCTCGCACCGAGCGTTCCGGCGTCCCTCCGGGTAATCCCAAGCAAGTACAATATCATCATTCGCCTCTGGACACACGCATTCCACAAACTCCTAGAGGCCTTGAGGCGTGCCTCGTTTTCCTCGCCTCTCGCTCTTGAACACCTTCAAGACTTTATATATTACGCCTACACCTTCTACACCGGCCTTCTCGAGGAGCCGACTCTGCGTTCGTTCCGATCCGGTTGGCTCGAGGCTCTTGGCGATCTTGCGCGCTATCGCATGGCTGTGGCTGCAATGGTCACTAATAACCAATTGAAAGGCTCGGCACTAACTACAGACGCTGTGTCTAAAGCGGCCGCGGCATCCGCAGATGGCGAACCTGTGACAGCCAAGAGCAAATCACAGATGAGCGTCAAATCATCTTCCGATCATCCCGCTGCGCGGGTAGACAATTCACCGAGCCCGAGCATTGGCGTTGTCGCCGCGCGGATGATGGATGTCGAGCCAGAGAAGGAGCGCTGGCGAAGTATCGCAAAGGAGTGGTATGCTCAAGGCATTGCGGATACCCCTGGTGCAGGTAAGTTGCACCACCATCTCGGTTTGTTAAGCCGCGAGGTCGACAACGAGGAGCTACGCGCCGTGTATCATTTCGTCAAGAGGTTTGTTTTCGCGTCAATTCTCTCTGCATCATTGCTGATCAGTTGTTCTCCATAGTATGACCACCCTCCACACATTCTCAACCTCTCGAGAGTCCATTCTTCCCATCTGGTCGTCAACTGCGCAATCGCGGCGATCACAACCTGACGCCCGTGCACCCGAACTCTTCGTTCTTTTACATGGCATGCTATTCACTAACATCCAACTTGACGACTTCTCGCCGACCCTCGCTCGCTTCCTTGAGCGCATCGAAATCGAAGGAGCCGAAGAACGCGAGTGGATCATGATGGCTGTCGTGAACATCGGTGCCGTGCTTGAATATGGTCGTCCGAGCGGCGTGCTGCGTAAGATTGGTGGCGTAGGTGCTCGTGACACTGGCGCAGGTGTTCCAGCTGTAAAGGTTGCCAAGAAGTATCAAGTTACGCCCGCATTCCGCGACGAAGACGGTGAAGAGAAACGGATGGACGTGGATGACGAAGGCACCCAACAAACATCTCCAGCTCTATCAGATGCAAATATCCCTATGGAGCTGCCAGTGTCATTCAAACTAGCGTTGGAACTTGCATTTTCAATGCTCTCATTTGTTCTCCGCAATCCGACGCGGAAGGCCTCACATTTTGCTCGTTCAACTCTCAATCCTTATCTCTCAGTCATGCTCACCTTCTTGGCTACCGTCACAAAACATACAGAGACACTTTCCGTAATGGAACGTTCGATACCTTGGCATGATCTTGCCCAGTTTTTTGCCACAATTCCCCGCGATATCTTCGCCACGCAAGGATTGGATATCCCAGGTACTAGCGGCGAGCGGTGGGCGATGCTGACAAGTGGTTGTGCCCCGCCTCTCTCCGAGGACTGGTGCCTTCGTGGGATGGAGTGGATTGGTCGAAAAGTCTTCGAGCGTGGATACTGGAAGAGCGGAGAGGAGAGGCGGGTGGAGGTGGAGATTCTAGATGTGGAAGAAGGCGGTCAGCTCACCGATGGAATCATCGAAGATGAAGATGACGAAGAGGATGGTCTCTCCCGTGGGGAGAGCTTGCGTGGAGAGACAAGCAAGAGGTGGAGCCGACTTGTCCGCTGTGCGGTTTCCTTGTCAAGTGTTGTTGATGGGTTCACCTGGGTGGAGGGCACACGTGAATGGAGGGTTGAGGGTGTATTGGAAGCGAAAGTGACGCGATGGCTTGAGGAAGATCGTCAGGAGCGCGAGGAAGAGGAACGGAGGCGAAGTGGTCGTCGTTCGACCGACGATTCTATGGATGTCGATGCTGAGGATGTCGATGCCGATGAATCATCAGAACAGAGCGAAGACGACGAAAATGATTCTGAGGAAGTCAAGGAGCTCAAGGTTGGTTGCCTCGTTTTTGATTTTCGGACGGTATTTGATAACGTTGACAGGCACGCCGGAGGTACTTGCGGTCACTTCACGTTTCAGGTCAGCGTGCACCTGCCCACGTACCCAAACAGCGGTCTCGCCCAGCACGTTCCCGGAAAACCGTGTCAATGCCATCTCTAAACATCGTGGCAGGCTATACTATTCTTGTACTGGATACCAACATTATACTATCTTCCTTATCGGCCATCGCATCCATCATCGAGAGTCTCCGATGGACCGTCGTCCTGCCAGTTCCGGTTATCATGGAGCTTGACGGCCTATCATCAAATCCGTCTAAGCTTGGCGAAGCTGCTCAAGAAGCTGTTGCTTACATCACCTCACACGTTCGCTCGCACTCAACCTCACTAAAAGTCCAGACTTCAAAAGGCAACTACCTGACGTCACTGAATGTACGGACCGAGCAGGTTGATCTTACCATTGAAGATTCATGGGATCGTTGCATGGATGATCTGATTCTAAAAGCTGCGATCTGGCAAGATGAGCATTGGGTGGACCGCTCTGCACTGTTGAAGAATACTTCACCTGTGCGAGATGCTAATGCTGTCAAGGTGGTGCTACTTTCTCTGGATCGTCTCTGTGAGTCCTTGAATTTTTGATATCGCTCACAACGGCTCATTTTCATGTAGTGCGTTTGAAAGCGCGTTCACGCCAACTTGCAGCAGCTGGCGAGAAAGATCTTGCTGCTATACTAGCATCTGGAACGTAATGCATGCTTGTGGCTTCATGACATCGATGCCATGGGTTTTCTAACCTTTTACGTCTTGCAAGCGCTGCAGGATGTCTATCAGCGTGGTTGGGCCGGAGTTCCTCTTACGTAGTAGGTCACATGTTCCGGATCAAATGCCTAGGGTAGCTGGATCCTGCATACTATGGCACGCCGAGGAGTGTGTACTTAGTAGGTGTTCGCACACATTGGCAGCTGTTCTCTCATATCATCATTTCTTGCATACATACCCTCATTCTCATTGCATACAATACCTTGTTGCTCATTATCTTCATCTATTATCTACTCTGTTTTATTATTGTTTTACTAGTAATCTAACTGTGATGTCCTTTGATGGTCTGCATCTTAGTTGTCGCGCGAACACTGATTCTGATTCTCTGACGTTACTGCAACGGTCATTTCCACATTACAGTCGTAATGGTATCTAGTTTACAACATTTGGCAATTATTGTTGCTATCCTTTTTGTCCACGTCTAGATCTCGTAGACCTTTGCCTCATTGGAGCGCGAATATTGGACGAGGTCGTTAGGGAACCAGCTGCAAAGATGGTCAGACGGAATAAATTGAGGTGTTCTTGTGAGCTTACAGAGAGATCTCTTTTTCGGCGTTCTCGACGGAATCAGAGCCATGGCAGATGTTACGGCCAACGGCAAGGGCATAGTCACCGCGGATGGTGCCTACGATAAAGTGAGCACCTAAATGTAACTTGATGACTCATGATAGACTGACCAGGGCCTGACTGAAGGGGGTTGGTGGCGCCCAACATGACACGGCCAGTTTTCACAGCATCCAAGCCCTCCCAGACCATGGCAAAGACAGGGCCAGAGAGCATGTATGTGATCAAACCAGGGAAGAAGGGCTTCTCGCGGAGGTCCTCATAGTCTACAAACCGAATGTGATCAATCATCTCGTTGAAAATATGGTTGAATCCCAAACTCACGCTTCTCGAGATGCTGTCTGGAGGGAGAGATGAGCTTGGCGGCGATGAGCTTGAAGCCGCGCTTCTCAAAGCGGGCGGTGATCTCGCCAATAAGACCACGGTCAACACCATCGGGCTAGAAGATGGTGCGGTCGTTCAGCGGTTGATCATCTCGAGATGATAGATGGCTACCTTGACCATGATGTAGGTGCGTTCACGGATGTTGGGGGCCATTTTTGTTGTATCTGAGCGGAAAGATGAGGAAGTGATTCTAAATGATCGCAGTCAAGATTTGTTGCGAGTTTTATCTTACCAGATCTTATCTTTTTGAAAAATAAGTCTAAATAAAGCGGATGCAAATAACGCCAAATAACATCCCCGGGTGGTTCCGCTTCTTGAATTGTAGTTTCGTGAAGACACCATACTCAGTAGCCAACGCGATGAACGTGCTCGGCCCTTCCCTCGCACCCTACATTCGCTCCTCGCGGACGCTCAAGAAATATGTGACACCAGTCGCTCACTGGTATGCTAACCTCATGGGCTACCGCAAGATGGGCCTCAAGTATGATGACCTCCGTGCGTGTCATATGTTTAGTTCGGGGATGAACATGTTTATTGGATTCATGTAGAGGTCGAAGAGAACCCACAAGTCCAAAGGGTGAGTCGCCTATCCACTTTTTATGAACATATTTAACGTTGACTGGAATTACAGGCACTCGGTCGTTTAACTCCGCGAGAAACCTATGAGCGCTCCTACCGCTTCAAAATTGCAAGCAACTGTGATCTTCACCACAAACCTTTGCCAAAAGAACAGTGGTCTAAGCCTGAGGATGTACGTTGATGTCTCGCAGTACTAAAAAGTGGATTGACGCTGACCGCTGTTTCAGGACAAGCGATACCTCCAGCCTCATATTCTGAACGTCATTAAGGAAGAGGAGGAGAGATCCACCTGGGACACAATGACCGTCCAACGCAAATAGACATTCGCATCCATGTAGACTCACAGTTGTGACTATCCATATCCACACATATTGGCGATGACTTCACCTGAAGTTTTATACTGTTCACTTGAACTATAATCAATTGCAAGAAGGATGCTTCAATTTTGTTTGATTACCCTCTGCAACACCACGACTTTGATATATCCAATTTCTGTCCTTTTCAGAGCGACACTCTATGTAGGACAAAGCACCACAACTTGTCAATCATCAATCTATCTGATTACAGGATCTTTACATCGCTTTCTACAAGTAATCTAACCTAATTCCAGGACCGGCAAACTTTTTTAGTACTACTCGACACAATAAACCTACAAAGCCTTGACGAGAGGAGACACAACTTGGCCGCCCCTCTGCTTGTAGAACGCGATGACCTTCTTGCTAACGGCGGCAATGTCTGGATCACAGTTAGTAACATCACATTCTTGTGTATGCGCTAACTTACTAGGGCCAGTGATACCAAACTTCTCATACACCTTGAGGTACGGTCCTGAAGCACCCCATGCAGGTAGACCATATTGCTGCCAAATGTATGAGCTATTTAGCAAAATCGATGCGATCACAAAACCTTACCTCGTGGCTGTATTTTTGCCAACCAGCGGTCTATTTCGAGACAAGTCAGCCAAATGTGCCACTTCTTTAGCTATTCAAATTTACCGTGAGTGCCTCTAATGACAGAATTGGAGCACCGCTCCTGAGGACACTGAGCCTGTATTGCTCATCCTGCTTGTCAAACACCGACCAGCAAGGCAAGCTGACAAGCCGGACGTTGACACCCTCTTTCTTAAGCAAGCTCGCTGCTTCAAGGGCGATCGGAACCTCGCTGCCGCTGCTGACAATCGTCATGTCCTCGTTAGCGACCTCGTAGAGCACGTATCCACCTCGCGCTGCACGCTCAATGGTAGAGCCCTCAAGGTTGGGCAGGTTCTGCCGGGAAAGCGAGAGGACGGATGGTGTCTGCGTGCTCTTGAGAGCGACGAGATAGGCTGCAGATGTTTCGTTACCATCTGCAGGGCGCCAGAAGTCGAGGTTGGGAATTGCACGCAGGTGGATGGCAGTTTCGATCGGCTGATGAGTGGGACCGTCTTCTCCAAGACCGATGGAATCGTGCGTGGCTTGACAAATCATGAACATCGTTTCCTGGTTTCTGAAGGATTCTGTTTACTCACCGACCCAGATAACCTGATGCTTGCTGAGCGCGGACAACCTAACGGCACCAGCTGCATATGAAACGAAGTTCTAAGATGGGGTCAGCGAGAAACATCGGCTAAGGAACCACACTATTCACCATGAATGTAGCGACGAATGGCACAATACCACCATAAGCATGCAGACCATTGGCAATGGCGCCCATACCGTGCTCACGAACACCATATCGAATATACGTGCCAGCGTAGTTTCCGAGTCCGGTGCTAGGGGGTTGGAAGTCGACAGTTCCCTTGACCTTGGTCAAGTTACTGCCTGTCAGATCGGCAGAGCCACCCATGAGATCGGGGAGTGCGGGAGTAATCGCCGTAAGGACAAGCTCAGATAGCTTGCGAGATGCTTGAGCAGGATCGGCAGGGGTGTACACAGGGAGTTTTTGCTCCCATCCTTCCGGGAGTCTCCCAGAAATCCGGCGAGTGAGCTCGGCGTGCTCTTTGGGGTATGCTTTGGCATACTCGGCGAGAAGGCTGTTCCACTGGGACTCGAGCTTGGCGCCGCGAAGGGCAGCTGCTCGGTAAGTGTCATAAGTCTCCTTAGGCACGTAGAACTTTTGGTCAGGAGGGAATCCAAATTTGCTCTTCAGGGATTGAATGTCATCGGCCTTGAGAGCTGGGGAAAAGATGGTTCGCACACAGGCACTCGATATGTCAAAAAATCACACGCACGAGCGCCATGAACACCGTGGGTGCCCTGTTGCTTTGATCCGTAACCGATCGTGGTCTTGAGACAGACGATGGTAGGCTTGGTCTTCTCGGCACGGGCAGCGGCAATGGCACCGTTAATGGCAGCAAGATCGCTGGGCGAAAGTCAAACATTGAAAATATGAATGAGAAAATATCTCGTACTGGTCACCGTCATTGACGTGGAGAACTTGCCAGCCGTATGCCAAGAAACGCTGCTCGACATTCTCAGTGAAGGCGACAGCGGTGTCACCGTCAATAGAAATGTCTTAATGGGGATCAGTCACGGAACGGAGCCGCAAATAAGGAACCGACGTACGGTTATCATCATAGATCTGGGACAGACCGGTTAATCGAGGGGAAAAAGTTACACGTGAAAGGTACGCACGACGATCAAGTTGCCCAACTGCAAGTGACCAGCCAGGGAAGCGGCTTCGCTTGCAACACCCTCCATCAAACAACCATCTCCAGTGAAAACTGCAGGTACACACGGCTATGACATATTCCGAATCTCCGGAACTGGGAAAGTACTAACCATACGTGTAGTTGTTGATAAGATCAAACCCGGGACGGTTGTAAACTGCGCCGTAGTGTGCCTGAGCCATAGCGAGACCAACACCATTAGCGAATCCCTGACCAAGGGGACCGGTGGTGACCTCGATACCTGGCGTAGTGTCAGCGGTCCGTCAACATGGACTGTATCATAAATAGCACTTACCATCAGTATGGTGTGCCTCAGGGTGACCAGGGGTCAAAGAATCAAGCTGCCTGAATGCCTTAAGGTCATCCATGGAAAGCTTGTATCCCAAGAGGTGCAACAAGATGTACTGCAGTGCGCAACTAGATTGCCCATCAGTTAGCGATACACCAGTCAGGGGTCAAGTGCATACGCGTGTCTGCAGTGTTCATCAGCGAGCAGTCGAATATGAATATGAACACAAACTCACCCATTAGATAGAACAAATCGGTCGCGGTTAAACCACTTGGAGTTTTTTGGGTTCGCGTTGAAGAATCTAGGGTATCATTAAATAATCGTACGATGTGGACACATCGATATGACTTGCCTTGTAAAGAGAACATGGGAGACAGGCGCCATCCCCATGGGTGCACCTTAAAGATGGTCATCGTCGTTATCGTTGCACATGATGAAGTTGATCTAGTCGTGCTCACCTGGATGGCCAGAGTTTGCCTTGCCAACGACATCGGCAGCAAGAGTGCGGATGGTGGCAATGGAGGTGTTGTCTGTTGACTCCGGAGTGAAAGACATGATTGATGGATTTGAAGGAGAAGGAGTTAGAATTGTTCGGGTTAATATATACCCCTCAGAGATAACTGTTTCAAGCTGTACTGATGCGATTTAAGTTAGCGACCGGCTTACGAAGGCTTACGACCATGGAACCGTTTCACACGTCGATTCTCGCGTTAACTCTCTCGGACAGGACGGTTGCCTACGGAAAACATACAACCGGGACTTGACCGGAGCTCTCTTCTCATCTTGGTCTGTGCGTGTATCGTTAACTCGTCGACACTGGTTTTCGACAACTGTCTTGGATCCCACTGTCAGTCGGTGCCGTGTAGTCCTGTAACACTTTTCATGCAGCATTTCTCAGATGCATCCGCAGTTGTCTGATAAACGAATAGGTGCGGCGCACGGCCTTTGTGATATTCTTTCCTGTTCTGACCTAGCCATCAAAGTCTGCAGGGAATTCATCCAGGCACTGGATGCATGTCATGTCAGTATCTGGGCGCGTCTCACTGGTGGTTGCAATCAAGAAAAGGACAGCCTTAATAAGTGCCTTCGAAAAGAGGTTAGTTGCCTGCCTTTAGTACGCCCCTCCTAGCGCTGATATTTCCTTGGCTTAGCGCGTCGAGCGCTCGACTCGTAACCGCACCCAGGCCAAAGAGCAACGTTTGAAAACTGAACAGGTTTGGAAGGAACTTCACGAGGATGATTAATCTCTAGTCGTTCCTACCCAACCACACCTCTCACGTAGTCGACATACGCATGATATTTTCTGATGTCGTCAAAATTGTCTCACAAGAAACTTGGCCGGATTAGTTTAAGCATCTCCCACCTGTGGCGGGAAACGGATGGTCGCAAATCTCATAATGAGTGCGACATGTCTCCTCCCCAGCATCGAATTGGGATGGTAGTTCAGAAATCTCAAATACATGAACCTCTTGCATTTCAACCAAGCCGCTATCAAATACACTACGTCAGGGGAAGGAAGCCGATCACTGGTGACCACGTCATGAAGAACTAGTGGCCATACAATGGTCTGATTTTGGCAGATGAGTCAATCATCTTGACAAAGAATAATGTAGTCATGGTCTCACCGACACTAATAAC